GAGCGCCGACCTTAGGGGGCGCCAAAATGGGTTGGAAAAATAAAAATCTTGAGGGGGGGGGGTGCAAATCGAAAAGTTTGTCCCCGGGCGCCGGGAAGGGTCGCTACGCCTCTGATTAGAGGTGAGGGATAATACACAACATAAAAACAAACACGACTTAAACTTGTCCATAGACCTTGAAGGTCGTTTGTTTACTTGACCTTGGCTACGCAACAGTGTGGCCAGAACTATGATCCACATTCATTGACGAGGAACAAAGAAAAATCGTAAAAAAATGTTTTGCGCTCATGTACGATATTTATTAGTTTAGAAAACAATTACAACTCTTCTTTTAAAAAAAGGGGTTGGGTTAGTGGTTGGGTTAGTGGTTGGGTTAATGGTTGGGTTAGTGGTTGGGTTAGTGGTTGGGTTAATGGTTGGGTTAGTGGTTGGGTTAGTGGTTGGGTTAGTGGTTGGGTTAGTGGTTGGGTTAGTGGTTGGGTTAGTGGTTGGGTTAGTGGTTGGGTTAGTGGTTGGGTTAGTGGTTGGGTTAGTGGTTGGGTTAGTGGTTGGGTTAGTGGTTGGGTTAGTGGTTGGGTTAGTGGTTGGGTTAGTGGTTGGGTTAGTGGTTGGGTTAATGGTTGGGTTAATGGTTGGGTTAGTGGTTAGTGGTTGGGTTAGTGGTTAGTGGTTGGGTTAGTGGTTGGGTTAGTGGTTGGGTTAGTGGTTAGTGGTTGGGTTAGTGGTTGGGTTAGTGGTTGGGTTAGTGGTTGGGTTAGTGGTTGGGTTAGTGGTTGGGTAAGTGGTTGGGCTGGTGGTTGAGTAAGTGGTTGGGGTGGTGGTTGGGTGGTGGTTGGGTAAGTGGTTGGGGTGGTGGTTGGGTTAGTGGTTGGGTTAGTGGTTGGTGGTCGGTTTAGTGGTTGGGTTAGTGGTTAGTGGTTGGGTTAGTGGTTGGGTTAGTGGTTGGGTTAGTGGTTGGGTTAGTGGTTGGGTTAGTGGTTGGGTTAGTGGTTGGGTTAGTGGTTGGGTTAGTGGTTGGGTTAGTGGTTGGGTTAGTGATTGGGTTAGTGGTTGGGTTAGTGGTTGGGTTAGTGGTTGGGTTAATGGTTGGGTTAGTGGTTGGGTTAGTGGTTGGGTTAGTGGTTGGGTTAATGGTTGGGTTAGTGGTTGGGTTAATGGTTGGGTTAGTGGTTGGGTTAATGGTTGGGTTAATGGTTGGGTTAGTGGTTGGGTTAGTGGTTGGGTTAGTGGTTGGGTTAGTGGTTAGTGGTTGGGTTAGTGGTTGGGTTAATGGTTGGGTTAATGGTTGGGTTAATGGTTGGGTTAGTGGTTGGGTTAGTGGTTGGGTTAGTGGTTGGGTTAGTGGTTGGGTTAGTGGTTGGGTTAGTGGTTGGGTTAGTGATTGGGTTAGTGGTTGGGTTATTGGTTGGGTTAGTGGTTGGGTTAGTGGTTGGGTTAGTGGTTGGGTTTGTGGTTGGGTTTGTGGTTGGGGTGGTGTTCACTAAATGATAAACTTGTTATGTTTAAAAACAATGCTAAGCTTTTAGAAAAAAAATTGAACGTAATATATTATTAGGACCAATGTATTGGTAACTTAATCTATGGCTTGCTGACTCAGTCATTTGAATGTGAAGATTACCATCAACCTTGACCTGAGCCTCGCTGTGGCTGTGTGACATCACTCTATCAGCCGTCCACTATCAGCCCACCAACTACATCTTAATCGGCCTATTAATTACATCACTATCAGCCTATTTCATCACTATCGGCCAATTACATGACTATCGGCCTATTAGTTACATCACTATCGGCCTATTAGTTACATCATATCGGCCTATTAGCTACATCACTATCGGCCTATTAGTTACATCATATCGGCCTATTAATTACATCACTATCGGCCTATTAGCTACATCACTATCGGCCTATTAGTTACATTACTATCGGCCTATTACTTACATCATTATCGGCCTATTAGTTACATCGCTATCGGCCAATCAATTACATCACTATCTAATTACTGATCTAATTACAGTTCAGAACACTTGATATGCAACTAACACATCCGTCTAAAAATAGAATGGCCTTCATTTGCACAACGTGTAGTCGATTACGTTTTCAAGTGGTACTCGATACTTTTAAGTAGAGAAAAGTGACATCAGTAGAGGAAGATTTTAGTTTCCTGGATGGGTAGGATTGTATGTAACTGGTTATGGTTGTGTGTGTTGGTGTGTCGATGTGTATGTGGTTGTGTGTGGTTGTATGTATGGCTGTATTTGTGAATTTATAAGTGTGTGTGGGGGTGGGGGGGGTGGGGGGGGATATGAGGTAGATCTACTTTAGTAGAACAACACCTTTCCTGGTTTTTTTACAAGCTTTTATTTAACTCACTTCCTCGTCAGTCGTCAGTCGTCAGTCTAGACGGAAACGCAGGAGTGAAAATTCGGACAGTTCTACTTGACCGATACGATTCACAGTTGGTACGTGGGTCAAGACATGAAGACAATGCAATCTGAATCTAAATTTGACTTAATTGGATGCCTAATTAATTTTTTATGAATTAATTAAAATTTGGACCGAATTAGTAGGCATGTCTAGCCAACCACACCACACGCGTCATCACCTTCAATAGCTGCGCCATCACGTAATGGCTGCGTTCAAAAACAATTGCGCGCCTACTGAACGTGATGTTCAGTAGGCGCGCAATGGTGTTTAGTCATGTAACCCTATTGTAAATAAAACATGTAAAGTACTGAAAAAAAATTCATAAAAAACGTTTTAATAACAAGCACTAAAAAGTAGAAAATAAATTATAGACTACTATTTAAATAACTATAAAGAAAAGCGTGGGTGTCTTCCTTAACATTAGTAAAGGTATCCAATAGATACTTAAGTGACCCACGCTTTTCTTTCTAGTTATTTAAATAGTAGTCTATAATTTATTTTCTACTTTTTAGTGCATCATTACATAAAAGCTTGTTATTAAAACGTTTTTTATGAATTTTTTTTGTTGATAAAGTTGACACTAAAAAAATATATCATGTTACAACTGTAGTATAAGGATCACATAATGGATCACAGAATGGATCACAGAATGGACCACTGGATGGATCACCGAAATACTATTTTATATTCGTTTAAATGTATTTCTGTAAGAAGGCCATACATTTAATAGGACCATAGTTCTAATTAGACCATACATTAATTTGAATAAAACGGCAATTAAGACAGGGCCATTATTGGAATAAAATAGGGCTATCATTTTAACTGTATTTTCTCCATCCATTGTCTTATTTCTGTTACCACTGGCATCATCTCCTCTCTAGCTTTGATTACCTCACCCCCTCTCTAGCTTTGATTACGTCACCCCCTCTCTTACTTTCGATTATCTCACCACCTCTCTAAATGTAATTACCTCACCCCTCTCCTGTCTAAATTTAATTACCTCAGCACCTCTCTAGCTTTGATTACCTCACCCCCTCTCTAGCTTTGATTACCTCACCCCCTCTCTTACTTTTGATTACCTCACCACCTCTCTCAAAGGAATTACCTCACCCCTCTCCTGTCTAGCTTTGATTACCTCACCCCCTCTCTTACTTTTGATTACCTCACCCCCTATCTAAATTTAATTACCTCACCCCCTATCTAAATTTAATTACCTCACCCCCTGTCTAGCTTTGATTACCTCACCCCCTCTCTTACTTTTGATTACCTCACCCCCTATCTAAATTTAATTACCTCACCCCCTCTTCTGTCTAACTTTAATTACCTCATCTCCTCTTCTGTATAACTTTGATTACCTCACCCCCTCTTCTGTCTAACTTTGATTACCTCACCCCCTCTTCTGTCTAACTTTGATTACCTCACCCCCTCTCCTGTCTAACTTTGATTACCTCACCCCCTCTTCTGTCTAACTGATTACCTCACCCCCTCTCCTGTCTAAATTTAATTACCTCACCCCCTCTTCTGTCTAACTTTGTTGATTACCTCACCCCCTCACCCCCGGGTCCCCACCCTGCCCCACCCTGTATTTTGCCTACACTTAACACGCCCCACATAACGCGTCGATTGAATTCGTAGAATTTGCTCTTTTGACCGCGCGCTTTATAATTACTTTAATTGTTTTTGTGTCATAATTGCAATCAAGCTAATTCTAATTTATGTCACAGTTTAATTTTTGTCGTTTCTGTGTTTGGTCGATCAGTCAATTTTCATTGGATTTGAAAACCTGAAACATTTAGATCTATGTGTGTTGTGGAAAGTTACGGTGAAATTTTAGTGAAAATTTACTGAAGTTTTTTGCGTATGATATGCATTTAATTATCAACCGTTGATATTAGATACTGTTGAATTTTTTAATGAAGGAATTATTAAAAACACTTCTTATCATTTCTTATGATCTTTGTGATGTAGCATTCAACATTCATAGAAAACAAGTAATTTCCTTACTGAGGATTAGTGTTTGCGCTAAATACAGAGCTTTTAGTGGAAAAAAGTAATAGCACAGTGTAAAGATTTCGCCAACGTCAGCAATTTTTTGCGATGTGTAACAACGAAACTAAATCATGGCGGTGTAAAGTATGAGAAGACTTTGAACACAATCTTTGGGGGGATAGTTGGCCGCTGTGTTCGTTAGAAAACAGGAAAACAAAGAATAAAATAAATACATCAGGAAGATATAACATTGTTGTTTAAATTACGTTAGAAAATAAGTCCTACTTGTCCTTCTCGTGTCCTGTGTAACTAGGACAATAAAAGAGGACCCAGATGGGATTTTTTTGGATAATTTAAATTCTGTGAAACGTCAATTTATTCTTTTGTGTTTATTTGAATACCCTAGAGTACAGTAAGCTACAAACGGATTTGTTAGTTGCGTCTGTACGTTTTACTTCTGTAGTTGTGACAGTGTGTAGTGACAGTGTGTAGTGTCATTGATAGTGACATTGAAACAAGTGACTAACATATCAATCATGGCAGATATTGATGTCATCGAATCCACAAACTGGAGTCGATTATCGTATTTGGAGGAAGACGTCAAGGATCGAATGATGGCGACGAATGATGACGTGGCCTGGTGTCTACTTCCGGTCATGGTCATCCTGGGGGTCTTGTCCTTAACCGGGGTCATCGGTAACAGCCTCGTTTGTTTCGTTTTCGCCAAGAAATTTCGTCAGTGCTCACAGAATTATTTGATAATTATTTTAGCTGTATTCGATCTTCATAGCTGTATAATAACAATCCCTTATGAAATAATCGATATACGATTTTACGTGTACTATGTATTCGATACTGACATTATATGCAAAGTTATGAAATTTATAAACGCTTTCTTTAATACAGGTTCGATACTTATTTTATTAGTAATCGCAGTTGACCGATACCGGAAAGTGTGTAAACCTTTGAGTAAACAGCTTCGACTGCCAACAATTCGAGGTATCGTTTTTCTGGTTATTTTAGTATCGACCTGTTATTCTTGGCCGTCGATATTTTTATACGGGATTCGATCAATGAATTCTACGACGATACCTGGGGAGATGATTCGAGATTGTTCGACCCCGACTGGCCTGGACCCCATCTTCCCGACCGTCTACAACGGGGTACTGTTTATGAGTTTCGTCGTCATTTCCATCGCCCTCATCGTCCTCTACAGCCGGATCCTCCGGGAGGTCAAAAGCCGGCATTTACGCCGGAGGTTTGTTAAACCGGAGAAAAGCAGCCAGAACGACACGAATGCCGTGTCCGTTTTTTCCGAGGATGACGGAAGCCGAATTCGGGGTACGGATTTTTTAGAGTCGGCGGTGTTGATCCGGAATGAGAGTGGTTTGTCGACGTACGGGCATAGAATCAAGCGGAGGTTGAGTAGGGTGTCGTTAAAGACTGGGAAATATGTTTTGAGTAGGGAAACAAAGTCGGACGATTCATCAAAGCAGAAGGGAGATAACCAAAACGGGTTAAAGAACAGTTTGAAGAGTAAAAGTATTCCAGACGGGACTGTGACGAATGAGTCCAAAGATGCGAATTCAAAATCTCGGCTGTTTTTGGTTCCGCCTTGTAACCATGACAACCGAAACTCCGTGCGCAGGTCAGCCAGTGACGTCACGCCAAGCAGCCGTCCCGTCCAATCAGAAAACTCGACGCAAACGACTGATGGAAATGTGGTGAAGACCGGCCTGGGGTTGAGACGAAGCAACAGCGACTCCCACCCCAACGTTAAGAAACCCCCACCCTCTCATCCGTCGATCGGCGTCCATCTTACCGGCACCACCGAGTTCATCGTGGGTCAGGGCGCCGTCGCGCAGACGACCAGGTCGGCGTCTTCCCAAAAACGCCGCCGCAACAGACAGCAGACGACGATGGTGGCGTTTTCCGTGACGACGGTGTTCATCGTCAGCTTCCTGCCCCACCTGTGTCTGATGATCACCAAGGCCCTGGTGTACCCGGCCATGGACCAGACGATGACCGGTCCAGCATTGGTCGCCTACACCATCTTTGTACGGAGTTACTTCGTCAACTGCATGGCCAATCCGTTCATCTATGGCATCTTGAACTCACAGTTTAGGCTGGAGGTGAAGAAACTTCTCAAACTTTTCTTTTGTAGGTGTCGACAGAAAGGTTAAAAATAAACTTCTGAGACTTTTCTTTTGTAAGCTTTAAATAAAAAAACTTTTAAAACTTGTTTTTTTTTTCTGAAACTTCTCTTTTGCATTTGTAGACACAAAATCCTAGAGATCTTTTCTTCAAACGTTTTATAACGATTTAAATTGACGACACTAAAATGAATCAGTCTTGTTTTAGAAATTAAAAAACAATTCCATTTGTTGTATTGCAAAAAAGTTAAGTGTTTCTTTCAGGCATCTTATGGAGTCAGGGAGTGGACAAGGTTCCCCTGCCCCAACCTGCCCCTACCCAAGGGTGTCACAAAAAGGTTGTTGTATGTTATGTTGTGAAGTAAAGTACCATTTCGAACCTTACGGCCCATAGGGGTAGGTGAAGTAGAGTTCACCTGTTTCAGTGACCTGAGCATATGAAGGCATAGTGTGGTCAGCGCTATGTATAATCGCATTTACTTTCCCTCAAGTGAGTGAGGTACCCACCAGAGCTGGGTGGACTCAGAGACGTCGTAGGGACTCAAGCACAAGATCTGAACTTGAGACTTTTGGGTTAGCAGTCGAGCGCTCTACCATTCGACCACAACATCCATTGATGTTTCTGTTGTACTAATTATTTGCTAGTCTCTCGTTAGTATATTCTGTACAGTGCCTTAGTCATATTACAATGTCTTTGAGATTATTGAAAATCTGCATATTTTTTAAACTCCATCTTAATCCAATATTCATTAAAACAACAAACTACACGCATTATCGTTCTTGAACTTTAATTAAACTTTTTGTATCAATAATTTGTATATACTTTTTCAAATTTAAAATTTCATCTGATATTAGTCCGAAACTGAAATAAAAAAGGGCTTACATGTATAAATAAATATGCCTATATATATATATATATATATATATATATATATATACATATATATATATATATATATATATATATATATATATATATATATATATATATATATATATATATATATATGCCGATAGATATGCCTATCTCTCTTTCTCTCTCTCTCTATATATATATCTATATATATATATATATATATATATATATATATATATATATATATATATATATATATATATAATGCATTATATTAATTTAACTTAAAATATGATTAATACGTGTGTTTGGACACATACGTTAGTTCTTCGAGTGAATAAAATGGGTTCCATTAATACAATGTATTAAGTAGCAGAATGTGAAGACTTGAACAGTTAAAGGTAAACATTGAAAGATACCTGTTTTAGTCTTGTCAATATGGTGTCATAGCTGCTGTTGAGCTCTCCTAATTTAGTAAAGAGTTAACATTTTTAAACTGACTTACATAAAACTAGTATATACCTATATATATATATATATATATATATATATATATATATATATATATATATATATATATATATATATATATATATATATATATATAGGTATATGTATATATATATATATATATATATATATATATATATATATATATATATATATATATATATATATAGATATGTATATATATATATATGTTTGATTATATTTATATATACATATAAGTGTATGATATATATATCTACATCTATATATTTGATTATATATATATATACATAAACATATATATATATATATATATATATATATATATATATATTTATGTATATTTATATGTATATGTATATATATATATATACCCCTATATATATGTGTATATATATATACCTATATACCTATATATATATATATATATATATATATATATATATATATATATATATATATATATATATATATATATATATATATATACACACATTCATATACACGCAGGAATATAAAAATAAGTCTATGAATAAAATTTGATTAGTTTGTACCAGGAAACAAAATGATTTAAATTAGGTCTAGTGTTAAGTTCAGTGACGTCACTCATTAACACGCGACTTGCTGTCAGGCACGTACTGCAGGCGCTAGCTGTACACGTCATAATCAGTGTCACGTGGTGGTTGTGCTAATTATGGTAATTATGGGCAGAATCGGGGTTAGCCTGGTGTTTGTGAGCTAAATCTAGGTTTAGATAATTAATGTCACAGCTGAACCTAGATTTACATTTAAAGCTAAACCTAGATTTAAACTTACAGCTAAACCTAGAATAATATTACAGCTAAGCCTAGATTTATATAAACATGCCACTGTGCTAAGCCTGATGTCAAATAAATGTCACCGGTCTAGAGTTTGACAGATATGCAATTTCCGCTGTAAAAATAAACCGGGAGTGATTTCCCCTAAACTTTCTCGAATATTCTTATATAACTTGAAATATAGACATGATTTTTAATTACTTAAACTTTTAAAAATAGAATAGAATCTCATAGAAATAAGAATTGCGCACCAAGCGAACGCCAAAACAAAATGTGCATAATAGTGCGCAATATTATTAGTACTTTATAAATTTACATGCGTTTTTTGAGAAATCGAAAATAGCGTAAATTAGTACTTCCGGTCAACGGAAATTACTCAAAATTTGACAGAAGGTAGAGAATTAGATCTTTTACTTACATGTGAAATTTCATTTATCTATCTGAAATAGTACTCAAGTTATAGGCTTTTGAAAAATTCAAAGTAGAAAAAGTACCACTTCTGGTTATCGGAAATCGCTCAAAAGTTGATACGGATCTACGATTTTGATAAAATACTTATAAATGAAATTTCATCAACCTAGCTGTAACGGTACTCAAGTTATCGAGTTTACACACAGACAGACAGACACACAGACACACAGGGGTCATCCATAAATGACGTCACACTCGTAGGGAGAGGGGGGGTCCGTAATTTTGTGACGATGTGTGATGAGGGGGAGGGGGTTCAGATGTTGCGACGTCACATTTTTGCATTATAAAAAAGCAATGTTAGAAAACGAATTTTAACGTTATTTCGCGTTTTAGATAACTGTTTTAATAAATTGTAATAGTTTAGACAAGATTTTGGAAAAATATCGATGTTTTAAAAAAATTCAACTGCAATTTTGAGGGGGGTTGTAGGTTGAGGTGTTACGTCATTTTAGGGGGGGGTCTGACTTTTTGTGACGACGTGTGACGGAGGGGAGGGGGGAGGTAAAAATCGTCAAAAAAGCGTGACGTCATTTATGGATGACCCCACACAGACATACGGACAAGATTGCAAAATTATGTTTTTCCGTATCAGTGAGGTGTAAAACGATTACATGACTTTCTCTATACGAGAAAGTAAAAATAACATGAACTACCTCAATTCCCCCACCCCCCACTTTCAACAATATAAACTGACACAGCTAATCAGTCCTTTTTGTAATTGGAATGAATTAAAATCAAACCCCACTATTCTTTTATTTAATTCCATGCAAAACTATATTAGAATCGAACAATATGATTGAAATTTATTAGGCTCATGAAGAACAGGAATTCGATATAACAGATAATGCTTGCGATGTACAATAAGTACAATGTATTTGAAATTTAATTAAACGTATTGTGAGAACAATGTATTTGTGGGCAATGAATTTAATTTAATTTAACTTACAAAAAACCCGATTTTATTCGCCTGATTTGCAGTTTCCTTTGAAGTATTCTTAGATGTAAATAATTACTGAGTCCGAAAGTAATCGAAGACGGATAAATGGGTTCACATATTCAGTTATCAGTAACAGTACGGTCTTAGAGTTTAATTCTTTACTTTAATTGTTGGTTTATAGTTAAACCATACCTATTTCATAGATAGTTTGGCTATAAGTAAATTTTAAAATTTTACATTGATGATTGGTTTATAATTAAACTATAGAATTTTACAGTGATAGTTGAGTTATAATCAAACTAAAATTTTACAGTGATAGTTGGGTTATAATAAAACTAAAATTTTACAGTGATAGTTGAGTTATAATCAAACTATATAATTTTACAGTGATAGTTGAGTTATAATCAAACTAAAATTTTACAGTGATAGTTGAGTTATAATCAAACTATATAATTTTACAGTGATAGTTGAGTTATAATCAAACTATATAATTTTACAGTGATAGTTGAGTTATAATCAAACTAAAATTTTACATTGAAAGTTGGGTTATGGTTCAAATCAATATATTCCCAGACAGGTTATGCTTTAGTAAATCATCAAATTTACAGATTCGTAAGTAACAAAGTTAGCTGTTGCCATGGTTACAAACAAAGAATTTACCTTCTTTTCTTTAAGTGAAGCTCTCATCTGCTCCCAAGCAAACAGCTCCTGTGGACAGACAAATGTGGTTTTTGTTAGAATTTGGCGAAATAATTTTAAACAGCTGTCCTATATAGGACAGGCAGAATTTTTTTTTTACCATAACTCAGATTTAATGCTTCAATGACTATATATGAGATGAAGAATTTTTACAATAACTCAGATTTAATGCTTTAATGACTATATATGAGATGAAGAAAATTACTAGAACTAATTTCTAGAACAAATTGCTAAAATAAATTTCTAGAACACATTTCTAGAACAAATCGCTAGAACACGTTGCTAGAAATATTTTCTAGAACATATTGCTAAAAACAAATTGCTAGAGCAAATTTCTAGAACAAATTACTAAAACAAATTTCTAGAACAATTTTCTAGAACAAATTGGTAGAAATAATTTCTAGAACAAATTGCTAAAACAAATCACTATAACAAATTGCTAAAACAAATTGCAAGAATACATTTCTAGAACAAATTGCTAAAACAAATTTCTAGAACAATTTTTTAGAACAAACTGATAGAAATAATTTCTAGAACAAATTGCTAAAACAAATCACTATAACTAATTGCTAAAACAAATTGCTAGAACAAATTGCTAGAACAAATCGCTGGAACACGTTGCAAGACGTAGCAGCACATACAGGAAGTTGATCGACCCACAACCATTGTTTGAAGTTGATCAACCCACAACCATTGTTTGAAGTTGATCAACCCACAACCATTGTTTGAAGTTGATCAACCCACAACCATTGTTTGAAGTTGATCAACCCACAACCATTGTTTGAAGTTGATCGACCCACAACCATTGTTTGAAGTTGATCAACCCACAACCATTGTTTGAAGTTGATCAACCCACAACCATTGTTTGAAGTTGATCAACCCACAACCATTGTTTGAAGTTGATCGACCCACAACCATTGTTTGAAGTTGATCAACCCACAACCATTGTTTGAAGTTGATCGACCGACAACCATTGTTTGAAGTTGCATCACCCACAACCATTGTTTGAAGTTGATCAACCCACAACCATTGTTTGAAGTTGATCAACCCACAACCATTGTTTACCTTTTGACTCCCATCCAGGAGAGTGGAAAGTTTTCCCATCGCCTCAAAGATTTCAGGAAGCTGAGAGGAAATAGAGAGTAAAGTCAACGTTTCCATCCAAATCACATTGCTGTTATATAGAAGTTATCACATGACTGTTATATAGAAATTATCACATGACTGTTATATAGAAATTATCACATGACTGTTATAGAGAAATTATCTCTTTGCTGTTATAGAGAAATTATCACATGACTATTATAGATAAATTATCACATTACTGTTATAGAGAAATTATCACATGACTATTATTGAGAAATTATCACATTACTGTTATAGAGAAATTATCACATGACTGTTTTAGAGAAATTATCACATTGCTGTTTTAGAGAAATTATCACATGACTGTTATAGAGAAATGATCACATGACTGTTATAGAGAAATTATCACATTACTGTTATAGAGAAATTATCACATGACTGTTATAGAGAAATTATCACATGACTGTTATAGAGAAATGATCACATTGCTGTTATAGAGAAATGATCACATGACTGTTATAGAGAAATTATCACATTACTGTTATAGAGAAATTATCACATTACTGTTATAGAGAAATTATCCCATTACTGTTATAGAGAAATTATCCCATTACTGTTATAGAGAAAGACCTTATTGTATTATTGAAAATTTTAGCAGAAAAGTGCAGTAAATGATTTCTGGAAGATTATTAATGTGCAAGATATATTAACACAGGTATAAATGACTTATTTAAACACACTAGTTCATAAGATAAACTTTGAAAAAAGGTAACTACATACGTGCGCTTTCCTCATCTGTAGAATAAAAAAAAAGACTGATAGTCTTGCGATGTTTAGTCATAATTAAGGTAATTTAAGATCTTCAGTATTTTACAAATAAGTTTAATTAGCAATAAAAATACACTAAATACAATAATATTATGTATACGTATTGTATATACATTTTTCAACGATTAGAAAAGTCTTAATGTTGAAATATAACATCATGGAATTTAAATTAGACATAAAATTATTTAAGTTAAGGATTATGAAGGTTCAATATGATTGTAAAACAATAAACTATATATATATATATATATATATATATATATATATATATATATATATATATATATATATATATATATATATATATATATATATATAATACAACGGCTTACCACTTTCCATTCGTTGTTGTTTACTTTGGGAGTTGGGGTCGATCCTTTGCTATTTCTCTGTGGAAGAAGGAATGGTTATTGCTAATAATTGTTGAGTGATTACAATTTTTGAGAATGTGATTTTACGATTTGTAAAGTTACATGCAGTAAACAACTTCATCTTTGGTGCAGGCAAACTGACCGGGTACCCTTTAAAATAGCGTGGGATCCTGGTTGAAAACTGGTTGTAAGCTGATCACTTTATCCACCCTCGCCCCCCACAATTTTTGTGGAATGCGATAGTGTCCTCAAACCATTTCTTCCCCATGCTAAGCTCTGAAATGATTGAGTTCTATAAATAGTAGCAGAACTAGACTAGGAAAAAAAAAACTTGTTGGAAATAAATACCTTCTGTTCCCGAAGTGTTTTCATGTCCTGAAAAAAAATGTTTAGAAATTTAAGTGAGAAAACAAGTTGGATTAAAAAAGTGTAATTTGTTAGTGTAGTGGTTCAATTTAAACAGTGAATAACGAACAGTGTTGTGTACACAAGGCCAATAGCCCACTAACAAAATCTGCTCTTAGGTAACAAGGCCAATAACCCACTAACAAAATTTGCTCTTAGGTAACAAGGTAAATAACCCACTAACACAACCTGCCCTGAAGTAGCAAGGCCAATAACCCACTAACAAAATCTGCCCTTATGTAACAAGGCTAATAACCAACTAACACAATCTGTCCTGACATACGACAAGAGGCCGTTCTAATCTAAACAAGACTCGACAAAAACGACCTCAAGCCTTAAGGCAGGGGTTCCCAACCCTGTGCCCGCGGGCGCCATGGCGCCCGCCGAAAGATTCGTATGTGCCCGTCTCTCACTATTCGACAGAGACACATTTTTTTTCATAAACCTTATTGAAAGGTTGAAGGGGATGGAAATCGAAAGTTTGAGGGGGGGAGAGAATCGAAAGTTTGAGAGGGGGATGCAAATCGAAAGTTTGAGGGGGGGGGGTGCAAATCGAAAGTTTGAGGGGGGGGGGGTGCAAATCGAAAATTTTGTCCCCGGGTGACGGGAGGGGTCGCTACGCCTCTGGAAGGAGTTTGTCGATTTAAAATAGGTGGTGCCCGCCACCCTACCAATATTTTAGAATGTGCTCTAGAGTAAAAAAAAGGCTGGGAACCCCTGCCTTAAGGAAACGTGTGAACAAAAAGGGGAGCGAACTTTTCTGTTTACCAAAAAGGGGAGACAACTCTGTGTTTACAAAAAGGGAAATGTTTACCATTTGTCTTTTAGAGACCAAACTTGTCAGGTTACCCATCTCAACCAGCATGGCGGAAAACTGGGGAAAAATGTGAAAGTAAAAATCACATCTAAAAACTTCAGTTTGTTTTATTATTAAAAATAAATATTGAGTATTATGCTCTTACACACACACATTGTAACACGTAAATCCTGATAAAGGTCGGGCACATCTTACGATAACTTACGCACATCTTACAATAACTTACGCCAGGGGTCGGCAACCTTTTGAAGCGGAAGTGCCAGAAGTTACAATTTTCAAAATTTCCCTGGTTTTAAAGAGCCACTAACATTTTTTTATTTCAAATATTTTATTTTTTTAATTAAGATTATTAGTATTTGTTCAAGGAGCTGGAGAGCCGCATCTTGATATCAAAAGAGCCGCATGCGGCTCGCGAGCCGCAGGTTGCCGACCCCTGACTTACGCACATCTTACGATAAATTACGCACATCTTACGATAACTTACACACATCTTACGATAACTTACGCACATCTTGTAATAACTTACGCACATCTGACGATAACTTACGCACATCTTACAATAACTTACGCACATCTTACGATAACTTACGCACATCTTACAATAACTTACGCACATCTTATAATAACTTACGTACATTTTACGATAACTTACGCACATCTACAATAACTTACGCACATCTTACAATACCTTACGCACATCTTGCGATAACCTACGCACATCTTACAATAACTTACGCACATGTTACAATAACTTACGCACATCTTAAAATCACTTATACACATCTTACGATAGCTTGCTTACAGCTTACGATAACCTACGCACATCTTATAATACCTTACGCACATCTTGCGATAACCTACGCACATCTTACAATAACTTACGCACATGTTACAATAACTTACGCACATCTTAAAATCACTTATACACATCTTACGATAGCTTGCGTACAGCTTACGATAACCTACGCACATCTTATAATACCTTACGCACATCTTACTATAGCTTACGCACATCTTACAATAACTTACGTTTCCCATGATGTGTTTGAACATGTCCATTTTCTAAAAAAAAACATGAAGTCACGTGTTAAACAAAAAGTAGCTAACAAATGTTGTTTTCTATATCAATCTACAAGCACTGTCTGTAATGTATAACATTCGTTTTGTGAAAATGTTGATATAAAAATGTGATTGCTTTAACTATCTTGTTTCATATCTATCTAGGCAGAGTGATTTTGTAGTAGATGAAGTAGAGTTCAGCATTGCATACTGTTTGTTAAAAACTATGGGGGTATGTTCTCAGCAGGTTAAGTCCAGTCGGTCTTTTGACCATATCGGCAAAGGTCCAGATTTAGTCTGGCATCAGATGATCGCTGACCGCCATAGAACAGTGACTCAACTTGTGATGGTCTGACCTGGGATATGTCCCCCCCCCCCCCACAGAACAGTGACTCACCTTCTGATGTTCTTCCGTGTGGCTCGGGAAATGCCCGCCCCCATTGTGCGGGTTTTGTCCATCTGGGGTGTTACTTGTCTGCTGAGGGTTGGGAGGGGATAGATAGAGAAAGTTATACTAGGTTTAGATGCTCAATACTAAAGTTGTGGTAAAAGCCCACTATACATGAGATATTTATGTGTGATATTTAGTCTGAGATAATTTTTCCTGCCACTATATATATATATATATATATATATATATATATATATATATATATATATATATATATATTACATACTTCAGACTAAATATTTCTACGTGTGTTATAGATATTACCATACGAATACAACTTACTAACATAATCTAAAATGTTTTCATTACATTTAATAAATCGTAAATTGATTTAATTAAGCTGTCTGGATATTTTATAAATAAACCGGGAGTGATCTCCCCTAAACTTTCTCGAATATCCTAATATATAAATCCCCACGTTCGCACATCTCTCTCTCTCTCTCTCTCTCTCTCTCTCTGTCTGTCCGCAAAAAATTTTCGCCGGACATCACGTCAGAATCGGCAGCGATATATCGAGAACTTTTTACGGACTTTTGTTGAAAATAATATGTTAGATGTTTTAAATGTATAACCACAATTTTATTTAAAGAAGAAAAATAAAAAATAAAGGCGTATTCGAATGTAGAGAAACAGTATTATTTATGCAACCGGAAAAGCATTAATACATGTGAAAAAGAACGCATAAAACTGTGACGTCACTATTGCTTATACATTAACTAATGACGTCATCTGCCGTGTTTCGAATAAAAAGAAATGAACTATTTCATTCAAATTTGATTTAGATCTACGTACACTATGAAATGTATACAATACAATTTATCCGGCCTAAACTCATAAAATGTATTTTATGTATTTGGATTCTAGATCTAGATATTCTAGATCTAGACTAAATCTAAATCTAAATCTACGCAATAACTAGATCTAGACGTAGACGCTAAGATCTAGATTTAGACTCTAACCTCTCTAAAATCAATTCCAAAAATAAATTTCTATATTAGGACTAAACTATTTCAAGACTTATTTATTTTATACAAAATCTTTGTTTGAAACTGGCTAATTTGGGATAAAAAAAATTAATTTGAAAGAATAGGCATATTCGTGTAAGTTAAGATTTTAAAATACGTATTTCATTCTCCGTATTTTATAAGGTGCCTAAATAGCGGAGATGTTAGTGTACATTAAACCACGCAGGTGGTGCGGGTTCGAGACACACCAAGTCAACTTGGTTAATGAATTTTTTTTTATTATGCTCGGGCTAAACTTAAAAAAAAAATTCTTTTAGGAATCTAGATCTAGATTGTCGGGTGTCCGATAGGGCACTTCCCGGCGCCGCAGGCGCCTTGGGGCGACAGAACACGGGGGCCGGTTGGCCGAAAAGTCTACGACGAGGGGGTCAAAACTGACCTCGACTGACCGGTACCTTATATGAGCTATAAATCGAAAAAAAATGTCCACGGAGGAACCTCTTCATAACTCTTGAGGTCGTAGACCGACCAGCGGGCGAATTAATTAAGCATTCAAATTCTCAATGTTTTCGAAAGCCTAAGCGAAGCTGGGCAGCATGCCTAGTTCTTATATAAAACAACAGGGGATGGGAACTCGGGCTATAGACATGATTTTTAATCCATTTTAAATACTTAAAGTTTTAAAAATAGAATAAAATCTCGTAGACAAAAGATTGGCACACCAAGTGAACGTAAAATAAAAAAAGTGCATAATAGTGCGCAATATTATTAGTACTTTAAAAATTTACATTAGTTTTTTGAGAAATCGGAAGTAGCGTAAATTACTACTTCCGGTCAACAGAAATTACTCAAAATTTAACAGAAGGTAGAAAATTAGATCTTTTACTTACATGTGAAATTTCATTTATCTATCTGAAATAGTACTCAAGTTATAGGCTTTTGAAAAATTCAAAGTAGAAAAAGTACCACTTCCGGTTATCGGAAATCGCTCAAAAGTTGATACGGAACTACGATTTTGATAAAATACTTATATATGAAATTTCATCAACCTAGCTGTAACGGTACTCAAGTTATCGTGTTTACACACACACACACAGACACACAGACACACAGACATACGGACAGAATTGCAAAGCCCAGTTTTTCAGACTGGATTACGCATAAAACCTCTTAATTTTGATAAATCTGGATTGATAATTTTTGCCCGATTAAAATAAGTCCTCTATACTTCGGATGTGATGAAGGACTGAGGTGTAATACGGTGAAAATTGTTAAAATTTCAAGTGATTTTTGTGCACGATTACAATACTTTCTCTATACTTCGTATATACGAGAAAGTAAAAAAAAAGTGTTAAAAAATTCCATGCAAATACACATGTGTGATTTTTTTTTCCGGTGACAATTTCCTCTGACTTTTTTCTTGTGGTTTTTTTCTTCAATCTTTTTGTTAAGTGGATTTTTGATCTGGGGCTTGTCAGATTGAGGGAGGGGGTAAGCCTATACCTGAGTCGTGGTAGGGGTAGGGGATGAGGGACCTATGAGCATGGTTTGTTTTGGTATAAATGTTTTCAGCCAGGGATATATTCCAGGATGGGGAGTATGTCCTGGTGGCGTATGGGCTAGGTTGTCTGAGTGCTCTACCAACTCGACCATACCCCCACCCCTCTAATGTTGACGTAAAAATGACGTCACTTACCGCCTGCCCAGCTGTGTTTTTAGGTAGCCAGTTCTGTTTGTTGCCTCCATTTTGGCCCCATGTCGACTTCTTCCCGCTGCCATATTGTGTGTTGGTTTTGCCGTCGTTGTATGCAGGCTGAACGAACAGTTGAGTTGACAGTAAGACGTATATGGTTACAAGTTGGTTCACATAAAGGATAATGAGGTAGGAATAATGAATACACCTCGATAATTATAAATGGGAGATTAGAATAATGAATTAAACTCGACATTAGAAAATAATTGTTTGGAATAATTAATTATACTAAAAAATCTTTACTGGAAAAAGCTGTTGATATTTGACGTGTTTAATTTGTTTTTTAACCATAAGCAATATCCCCCTCCCCCTAAAAGACACACAGCCTACACAAAGAAACTTTACACTTAATTTTTAAGAATTCTCTAATAAACTTTTGAACATCTGAACTTTGCGGTAAGCTACGAGACACCTTTGTCACCTCTCACTTGTATACCACGCCACCACACCATCCTAGACACCAGCAACATATAAGATTTAAGGCCATGTTGCCATGGAAACTCACCTCCTGCACACTCCCAGCATCCTCTTCGTCATTGACGTCATCGTGAGCTGCTTGAATGTTACCGTTTGGTTGGGTTTTCTGATGAAGGCGACAATATAACGTATTACAATATTTAGATAACAGGTACCTTACAACTTTTCTGATCAAGGCGAGAACATAACGTATTAGAATGTTTAGATAACAGGTACCTTACAACTCAATCGTAAAATTAATAAAATAAACAAAAGAGCACATTTAAACTTTTGGTAGGCAGAGTAAGATGAAAAAAAATGGATTTATAAGTAACATGAATACACATTTTTTGCACTATTCTATTCTAGAAAAAACAAGTTGTCTGGAAGATCTATCCACATTTCGACCCCATCTGTGGTCAATGTTGACCCCATCTATGGTCAATGTTGACCCCATCTATGGTCAATGTTGACCCATCTATGGACAATGTTGACCCATCTATGGTCAATGTTGACCCCATCTATGGTCAATGTTGACCCCATCTATGGTCAATGTTGACCCATCTATGGACAATGTTGACCCATCTATGGTCAATGTTGACCCCATCTATGGTCAATGTTGACCCCATCTATGGTCAATGTTGACCCCATCTATGGTCAATGTTGACCCCATCTATGGTCAATGTTGACCCATCTATGGACAATGTTGACCCATCTATGGTCAATGTTGACCCCATCTATGGTCAATGTTGACCCCATCTATGGTCAATCTTGACCCCATCTATGGTCAATGTTGACCCATCTATGGTCAATGTTGACCCCATCTATGGTCAATGTTGACCCCATCTATGGTCAATGTTGACCCCATCTATGGTCAATGTTGACCAATATATGGACAATGTTGACCCTATCTGTGGTCAATGTTGACCCCATCTATGGTCAATGTTGACCCCCTTTCTGTGGTCAAGGTTGACCCCATCTGTCGTTAATGTTGACCCCATTTATGGTCAGTGCTGACTCACCCCTGTATTGTCAGTGTTTTTGCCGTCTCCAAAATTTTTATTTCCCCAAAAACCATTGCCGCCCTTGAATGGAAGTTGTAAAAAGTTTATTCAAATGTTGTCAGTAGAAAGTTGTCAGTAGAAAATTGTTAGTAGAAAGTTGTCGTTAGCAAGTTGTCAGTAGAAAGTTGTCAGTAGAAAGTTGTCATTGAAAGTTGTCATTGAAAGTTATCAGTAGAGAGTTATAAGTAAAAAGTTGTAAGTAGAAAGTTGTCAGTAAAAAAGTTGTCAGTAGAAAGTTGTCAGTAAAAAAGTTATCAGTAGAAAGTTGTCATTGAAAGTTATCAGTAGAGAGTTGTCAGTAAAAAGTTGTCAGTGGAAAGTTGTCAGTAGAAAGTTGTCAGTAGAAAGTTGTCAGTAGAAAGTTGTCAGTAGAAAGTTGTCAGTAAAAAGTTGTCAGTAGAAAGTTGTCAGTAGAAAGTTGTCAGTAGAAAGTTGTCAGTAGAAAGTTGTCAGTAGAATGTTGTCAGAACAAATTTGTCAGAAAGGATTATCATAGAATTTGCCAATGCTTTAAACACATGTAAATGAGCTAATGGCTTTGCCTAAAGTTGTGAATGAGTTTGCCACATGTTGTGAATGAGTTTGCCTAAAGTTGTGAATGAGTTTGCCTAAAGTTGTTAATGAGTTTGCCTAAAGTTGTGAATGAGTTTGCCTAAAGTTGCGAATGAGTTTGCCTAAAGTTGCGAATGAGTTTGCCCTAAAGTTGTGAATGAGTTTGCCTAAAGTTGCGAATGAGTTTGCCTAAAGTTGCGAATGAGTTTGCCTAAAGTTGCGAATGAGTTTGCCCTAAAGTTGTGAATGAATTTGCTTAAAGTTGTGAATGAGCTTGCCTAAAGTTGTGAATGAGCTTGCCTAAAGTTGTGAATGAGTTTGCCTAAATTCCTGAGTGAGAAATTCACCACTCACCTTTAATGTGTGATTACGCCACTTGTTGTGTAGCTCTTTCATTCCATTCATCATGTTCTGGAAATGTAAATTACACGTGGATAAGGGTAACAGTTAAACGTGCATAAGGCAACAGTTAAACATGGATAAAATTAACAGTTAAACGTGCATAAGGCAACAGTTAAACATGGATAAAATTAACAGTTAAACATGGATAAGGTAACAGTTAAACATGGATAAGGCAACAGTTAAACATGGATAAGTGTAACAGTTAAACACAAATAAAGGTTAAACCAATTTGCGTAGTTACAACGGGGACAAAATATCTCACAGACAAAAAAATCTCAGGACAAACGACCTCCATGAACAAAATATATCAGTACTAATGATATCGGACATATAATCTCAGGCAAAATGTCCCAGACAAAATATCTCACAACAAGATATTCATAGACTTTAGAATGATATTAGTTAATTTTAACATTAAAAAAAATTTGTCAGATGGATTTTATTTACTTTTTTATGCACATAGTAATTGTGGAGATATTCTAAACTTAATTTGATTTTTTAAATGGTATCTTATATGAAATGTATAAGACATGAAAACGCATATAACAAGTAAAATAATGAAAGCCTTATTCACATTAATGTTAAAAGCACGTGAACCAGTTTTAAAAAAGGTGGGTTTTCAGGTTCGTAAAGTAAAATTGTGTTTTGATTGCATCATCAACACAAACGTACCGTAAACAAATCTCTGAAGAATGTTGTCTTGCGTAAACCTGACTTCTTATAGGGACTGATGCCTTTCTGTGATGTAACGAAAGAGGCCATAGCTAGGTAATCATAACTAATACTGGTTTGTTTGCATGCGCACTATGATTAGCTTTGCTACGCAATGACTACTGTCGTTTAATTAAAATCACTAGAGTGTGACCATAATGTAATTATCGACTTAAGATGACAGTTGTATTGTCCACGGAGAGCGAACATCTCCATGTCTAGGACCTGTCCGCCAACAAAACGAGCGACTACATTGCTACATAGGTATGTTTTCATAGCCCTTCAATCCATAGCTGAGCTAACCCTTTTATCTAGTTTATACACCTGATGAAATAGGGTTGTCTCATGTTCGGCAAGCTACCTACATTGCCTTTTCAAACTGTTTTAATCTACGAATATTTGACTTCTCATTGTAATTTTAATGTTTAATATAATGTGGCAAACCTATGCGAAATACCTTTTCACCTAATTAATATGTGTAAAAATTATCTAAAAACCCAATGACAATAAATTTAAATAAACCGGGAGTGATCTCCCCTAAACTTTCTCGAATATTCTTATATAACTCGGAATATAGAAATGATTTTTACTTACTTAAACTTTTAAAAATAAATAGAATCTCGTAGAAAAAAGAATTGCGCATCAAGCGAACGCCAAAAGAAAATGTGCATAATAGTGCGCAATATTATTAGTACTTTTTAAATTTACATTAGTTTTTTGAGAAATCAGAAATAGCGTAAATTACTACTTCCGATCAACAGAAATTATTCAAAATTTGATAGAAGGTAGAGATATAGATCTTTTACTTACATGTGAAATTTCATTTATCTATCTGAAATAGTACTCAAGTTATAGGCTTTAGAAAAATTCAAAGTAGAAAAAGTACCACTTCCGGTTATCGGAAATCGCTCAAAAGTTGATACGGATCTACGATTTTGATAAAATACTGATATATGAAATTTCATCAACCTAGCTGTAACGGTACTCAAGTAATCGTGTTTACACACAGACACACGGACACACAGACACACACACACACACACACACACAGACACACAGACATACGGACAAAATTGCAAAATTATGTTTTTCCGTATCAGTGAGGTGTAAAAGGTCGAGATTTGTAAAAATCTCGATTTTTTTTTTTTTGCACGATTACAAAACTTTCTCAATACTTCGTATATACGAGAAAGTAAAATGTCAAAATCGACTAAAATCACACCAAATGCAATACACATTTTGTCGTGAAATATTTTGCCTGAGGTATTTTGTCCTGATATCATTTGTTCAAGATATTATTTGTCCTCGTATCTTTTGTCCGTATGTTCACTTGCCATGAGATATTTGTCATTAGAGATCATTTGTAATGGAACAGCTAAAACTTAATTTAATCCATGTTTAACATTTTTGTATAAATTTATACCCGATTTCTACAAATTAATTTCTTTTTCTTGCTATAAAATTCTGAAAATGTGAAATCCTTACAGCATATTTTATAAATAATTACATATCCTGTATAAATGTTATATTTGATAGTGATAAAATCATGCAAATAAAGGCCGATATATATATATAAGTAGAGCTCAAAGCAGGAACGATAACCCACTCACCACTTGAGTTTGGCCAACAAGAGTTGTCAGTTTGCCCATGGTGAACACCATCTCGGAGAACTGAAAATATGAGAACGGCAAATTGTTAGACTCTTCCAGAGCACATAACGTTATGTGACACATACAGCCACGTGACATACAAATACACATGTCACATACATGAATAAGTTATGGGAGGACCAATACTTTCTACGTTATACATGTCTTTTGTTTTCTTCGTACTTAATTCAAGTGTTGTATGGGATTTCCTCCAACACTATTCAGTGTTACACGTCAACTTGTTATGCGCCACGTAGACCGTTGATTTCTTTATTTTCTGGATTTGCTTCCATAGCCTTTGTCCAACCAAAAACAAACTACAAAACAGCAGTTGTTTGATTTTGGAGTTATCTCTCCTACCTGGGTTGCTGTCCCCAGCTATAGAGCCTTATTTGCTCAAGGGCTCGAACGCGGGAGTTTTCAGTATAAAAACCATGAGCCTCTACCAACCCGACCACACGAACATTATAATGTGTGATTATTAGGATAAGCCCGAGGGGGCCAGGTGTATTAAAATTTAAATTCTTGACAAATGTATCTGGCTCACAAAGACACTTTCTTCACGAGACTGAACTTTAAATTTAAAAAATTTAAAAACATAACTACAATACACGTTTGAAGTGGATGACATTTACAATTCTATAGAAGTTTTATACTGGATGTCATACTTACTTTGAATTATATATGTACTTGGATGGCATACATGGATAACATACATGGATAGCATTTGGATGACATACTTATATTGGGTGATTTACAAAAATGACGTATCGTAAATGACATTTTAAGTCGTACGACATACTGACATTGGATGACATACAGTGGATGACATACCATAAGTGACATATTGTCATTGGATGGCATACATTGAATGACATACTCACAGTGGATGACATACTTTAAATGACATATTTACATTGATGGACATATGTTAAATGACATATAGTGTATGACATACCTTACATGACATACTGACATTGGATGACATACATTGAATGACATACTGTGGATGACATACCTTAAATGACATACTTACATTGGCATACATTGAATATTTACTTACATTTCCATTCAAATTGAAGAACTTTTGTCTTCCCTTAAAGTAAAATAGAAACACGAATTAAACTTATACATACGTTTCCAGTCTATTTGTTTTAAAATATTACAGTTGTAACTCTATAGGGCTGGTAAGTAGGTCATCAACCAGTTCTACGGCTCAATAAAACCTGCATGAGCCATAGAACTGGTTGGTGACCTACTTACCAGCCCTATACCTGTAACCCCAAACTGTGTATGTTAGTTTAACACTAACAGAAACACACACATCTTACTGGGAAACAAGTGTAAGTCATTTTAAAACTCATCCAATCGCAATCAACCTAACATTCTTGGTCACAAATAACAATTGTTTTTATTGGCCATTGATTTTTTTTTATATTCTAAAAATAGCATAAAAGTGCTAGCAAATACAAATTTTCTTACTTTACATTTTTGTTTCTGTTGTTTCTTCTGAGAAATATAATTTACTTTTATTAGTTTACATGGCAAGCATGCATTTAACGAAAAAAAAGAACTTTTTCGAGATTACTCGAATCGCCAAACATGACTGTATTTAGAACTTCATTGGTATTTTGTAAAAAAATAAACCGGTAGTGATCTCCTCGAAACTTTCTCGAATATTCTTATATAGAACAACAGGGGATGGAAACTCGGGGAATAGTTATAATGTTTAATCCATTTTAAATACTTAAACTTTTAAAAATAGAATAGAATCTCATAAAAAAAGAATTGCGCACCAAGCGAACGCCGAATAAAGATGTATATAATAGTGCGGAATATTATTAGTACTTGATAAATTCACATGCGTTTTTGAGAAATCGCAAATAGCGTAAATTAGTACTTCCGGTCAACGGAAATTACTCAAAATTTAACAGATGATAGAGATATAAATCTTTTACTTATATGTGAAATTTCATTTATCTATCTAAAATAGTACTCAAGTTATAGGCGTTTGAAAAATTCAAAGTAGAAAAAGTACCACTTCTGGTTATCGGAAATCGCTCAAAAGTTGATCAGGATCTACGATTTTGATAAAATACATATATATAAAATTTCATCACCCTAGCTGTAACGGTACTCAAATTGTCGTGTTTACACACAGACAGACAGACAGACAGACACACACACACAGACTTACGGACAAGATTGCAAAATTATGTTTTTCCGTATCAGTGAGGTGTAAAACGTCGAGATTTGTAAAAATCTCGAATTTTTTTTTTGCACGATTACAAGACTTTCTCTATACTTCGTATATACGAGAAAGTAAAAAGTTGTTAAAATTATTTTTATTTTACTAATTTTTTTCTCATTCTTAATATTACTAGCAGGATAAATTGCAAATTAGCGTCATTTTTAAAAACAAAATGAATCAATATTTTGAAAAGTGTCAGAGTTTATTTAAATTGGAGCCAATTAAAAAAAGAAACAAGTCTTATACATCCGGGATTTAAATAGTCTCACATGGTGAAGCTAACAGCTAACTTGAATGAGAATCTTCAAATGCCAACAACAACAACAACAACAATAACAACAACAACAATAACAACAACAACAGCAGCAATAACAGCAGCAACCACAAACAACAGCAACAACAACTGCAATAACAACATCATCATGTACAACAACAACAGTAAAAACAAAAACACCAACAAGACACCTACGTTATTCTTTCTTGGCGTATCATATTCATCATCATTATCATCATCATCATTATCATCAACTTTCGCGTTAATTATCTTTTGAATTTTCTGCAAAATGTTTGCAATGAAAAATACAAGCATGAGTGCAATGTGTAGTGGGTGAGAAGACAATGTGTAGTGTGTCAGTGGGTAATGTGTAGTGGGTCAGGGGGTAATGTGTAGTGGGTCAGGGGTTAATGTGTAGTGGGTCAGATGGTAATGTGTAGTAGGTCAGGGGTTTATGTGTAGTGGGTCAGGGGTTAATGTGTAGTGGGTCAGGGGTTAATGTGTAGTTTGTCAAGGGGTAAAGTGTAGTAGGTCAGAGGGTAATGTGTAGTAGGTCAGAGGGTAATGTGTAGTGGGTCAGAGGTAATGTGTAGAGGGTCAGATGGTAATGTGTAGAGGGTCAGATGGTAATGTGTAGTAGGTCAGGGGTTAATGTGTAGTGGGTCAGAAGGTAATGTGTAGTAGGTCAGAGAGTAATGTGTAGTGGGTCAGGGGGTAGTGTGTAGTGGGTCAGAAGACAATGTGTAGTGGGTCGGAGGGTAATGTGTAGTGAGTCAGAAGGTAATGTGTAGTGGGTCAGGGGTTAATGTGTAGTTTGTCAAGGGGTAAAGTGTAGTAGGTCAGAGGGTAATGTGTAGTCGGTCAGAGGTAATGTGTAGTGGGTCAGAGGTAATGTGTAGTGGGTCAGGGGTTAATGTGTAGTGGGTCAGAGAGTAATGTGTAGTGGGTCAGAGGTAATGTGTACTGGGTCAGGGGTTAATGTGTAGTGGGTCAGGGGTTAATGTGTAGTGGGTCAGAAGGTAATGTGTAGTAGGTCAGAGAGTAATGTGTAGTAAGGGCTTGCGAAAAAAGGATAGCCAATGGATGGTGAGGTCAAGACGGCACGGATGCACAGAAAATTAGCATATGTAAACAGTCACACAACAACCACACAAAACAAACACACACACGCACGGACACACATTTATAAACAAAGACAGAAACGCACACACATTTACACACACATTTACACACATTTACACACACATTTTCACACACACATAAACACACACACACAACAACAACCTTACATTAACAACACAAAATAAGATCAGTGAAAGGGCTTGATGTAAAGGGAGGTAACGTTATACCGGCTTATTTTCCTTGATCAGTGTGTTGAGTTTGCCCATGTAGATGATTATTTCTGTTGACTAGTAACAGGAATTTAAATAACAAAATTAAAAAAAAAAATCAAGATTAAAGTAACATGTTTAAAGTAGCTATTGCTTAGTCATCTATTTTTTAAACATAAATTATAACATAATTTTTAGGTATGTTCTAGTTCTAGTTAATGGAACATACTTAAGGGACATTAAAGATATACCAATGGTAGCTATGAAACCCTAAACGAATACTATTTTAAATTCACAATTCCATTGAGCTTATCACTACATTTGCTGTACTACTACTACTGTACTACAACTGTACAACTACTGTACTACTACTGTACTACTTCTATACTACTAATGTACTACTAATCTAATACTACAGCAAATAAAGAGAGTGGCTTCATAGGATCAATCAAGTCAGTACTAGTACATACTACTAAATTTATTATACTACAACATCTACGACTATATCTACTATAACAGTACTACTGTATTTGCTATACTATGACAGCAACATCATTGAGTCAACCATTTTAACTAAACTACTACATGCAATTTATTACTACAACTACAGCTACTACTACTATTAATACTGTATCTAATATAAAATTACAACTAATAATGATGATAGTGATAGTAGCTATAATGACACAAAACTTACATTGGTGATGTTAAAAGGACATGATTTTACCTATATAAATACAAAGAAAAATTACACAAAGCCACAAAATACGTTATTATTCTATAATCAACACAATCAATAGTTGCTTAAATATATATATATATATATATATATATATATATATATATATATATATAAAAATGCTATGTTAGTGACATACATTTAATTATGTTAACTTACGGCAGGCTTTTGACTATTATTGGGTGGCTGAAAAAAAAAGCCATCTGAATAATGTTGTATTAATATAAACTAGATATATTTGTACAAATCTAATGATTTAACATGACCGATATGATAACGACATTACCACGCACAACATGACCCAACCACTCCAACCACCACCCCACACAGAACCTGACCCAACCACCACACTTACCATACACAACATGACCCAACCACCACCACCACCCCACACAGAACCTGACCCAACCACCACAATTACCACACACAACATGACCCAACCACCACCACCACCCCACACAGAACCTGACCCAACCACCACACTTACCACACACAACATGACCCAACCACCACCACCACCCCACACAGAACCTGACCCAACCACCACACTTACCACACACAACCTGACCCAACCACCACACCACACACAACCTGACCTAACCACCACTCCAACCACCACCCCACACACAACCTGACCTAACCACAACTCCAACCACCACACCACACACAACCTGACCCAACCACCACTCCAACCACCACACCACACACAACCTGACCCAACCACCACTTCAACCACCACCCCACACACAACCTGAGCCAACCACCACTCTAACCACCACCCCACACACAACCTGACCCAACCACCACTCCAACCACCACCCCACACACAACCTGACCCAACCACCACTCCAACCACCACCCCACACACAACCTGACCTAACCACCACTCCAACCACCACACCACACACAACCTGACCCAACCACCACTCCAACCACCACACCACACACAACCTGACCCAACCACCACTTCAACCACCACCCCACACACAACCTGAGCCAACCACCACTCTAGCCACCACCCCACACACAACCTGACCCAACCACCACTCCAACCACCACCCCACACACAACCTGACCCAACCACCACTCCATCCACCACCCCACACACAACCTGACCCAACCACCACTCCAACCACCACCCCACACACAACCTGACCTAACCACCACTCCATCCACCACCCCACACACAACCTGACCCAACCACCACTCCAACCACCACCCCACACAACCTGACCCAACCACCACTCCAACCACCACCCCACACACAACCTGACCCAACCACCACTCCAACCACCACACCACACACAACCTGACCCAACCACCACTCCAACCACCACCCCACACACAACCTGACCCAACCACCACTCCAACCACCACCCCACACACAACCTGAGCCAACCACCACTCTAGCCACCACCCCACACACAACCTGACCCAACCACCACTCCAACCACCACCCCACACACAACCTGACCCAACCACCACTCCATCCACCACCCCACACAACCCGACCCAACCACCACTCCAACCACCACACTTACCACACACAACCTGACCCAACCACCACCACACTTACCAGAGACCAGCCCATGCAGGTCATGATGACCCCCGACATGACAATAATAACATATGCGGTGTGCGCCATGTTCAATCACCTGAAAAATTAATTGCAACCAATCTTGTAGTAATTTTTTTTTTAACAGTGAATGACATATATACTGATAAAATGTAAATAAAAACCCGGGAGTGATCTCCCGTAAAACTTCTTATATAACACTACGGGGAATGGCAACTCAGTTGATATAGAACTATAAATTTGATATAATACTTATATATGCAATTTCACCAACTAGCTGTAACGGTACTCAAGTTATCGTGTTGACAGACACACACACACACATACATACACACATACACACACACAGACATACGGACAAAATTACAAAACTATGTTTTTCCGTATCAGTGAGGTGTAAAACGTCGAGATTTGTGAAAATCTCGATTTTGATTATTTGCACGATTACAATACTTCCTCTATACTTCGTATATGAGAAAGTAAAAAGGAAGGCATATTAGCTTATAATTCAATTAAATTTTTTTTTTTTGTTAAAAAAATTAAACTGTGTGAGCTCTAGAACGCAAACTGCGAACTTAGATGTCTTAAATTATGTCTCTGTATGTTAATTCGAAAGATGGAGTATAAGACCACGCTATTTCATCTTATTCTGTCGAGAACTCTACTGTATTTTTCTCACTGATCATCATACTTTGAAAGTTAACAGGTAAAAAAATTTACATATTACTATTCATAGAGTATTCAACTAAAATTTTAATTAAAAATTTTTTTTTCTGCTTTTCCCGACTCAGACAAGTAATTTACAGCGTCAGCTTGCATTGCGTGTTCGCTTTAGTTGTTACAGTTTACATCATCGGCTTTGTACAGATTTTCAATAGTAATACCTTCTTTCTTACTTGTAGCCTACTTTCATTTAATTTTTTTTCCTTTTTTTACATTCATTTGACTTTTTTTTTGTAAATATTTATCAGTTTGTTTTATTTCTCACATAGTCAATAGATATGAAATGAGTAATTATATTCATTTGACGATATTTAAAAAGTTTAGCGAACATTTTTCCTGAGTAATAGATATTTCGATTTTGAAAAAATATATTTTTTGTTCATTTAAATCATTTACTGTTTAAGATTGAATACATTATTTAACAGGATTTTATCGCAGAAATAGAAAAATGTTACTTTATTTTAAGCAAAAAATTGAATTAAATTAAAATTATATTTAAGTAGTATAACAGAACCTACTATACAAATTTTGTGTTAGAGGTTACATAAGAAAAAAATAAAAAGTATGTGAAGTGAGTTATGTACCTTTAGGTAGATCAGCCTACAAGGGAGGTGATCGCTGAAGATGCAGATGTCAATGGCAGAGTATCAGGCCCTTGGTTAAATACGATTCTCAGACAAAACACGTCATGGGACACATCATATGACAGGTTTAATTATCTAATTATGTAATTAAGTCCACTCAATATATGTTTCCTGTGGGAATATGTTAAAAATTGTGTTGTCAACAACGGACTTAGGTTGTGAGGTGTAATTAAATCATGTTTGGTGGATAATTTGTTGAATTGACTTGTTTAAAAATGAGTTGGGGTTAGGGTTATATGTGTGTTGAAACAGACAATAGGATGAAGGACAATGAAATATAGAGAATGGGGGGAGGGGGGTAGAGAGTGAGGGGGTAAGAGATAAAGATGTAACACTTGGAAAATATAGAAATTTTGGTTTGTGGGTATAGGCTGTGGTTTAAACAAATGTTGGTAGTGGTAGGGGAAAGGTTAAAGAATCACAGCTAGGGGTTAAAAAGGGTGGAAATGTATAACGTTTGGTGTGTGTGTGTGTGTGTGCGTGTGTGTGGCGGGGGTGGGTGGAGGTGGTGGGGGGGGGGGGGGGTTAAATTTGACCTTGGTGGCTTAGGGTGTTATTTTGAATGGGGTTACCGAGAAGGGTTAATTTTAAATGTGGATTTAGTTCATATCTGGTGGTTGTGGATGGTGTTGATTGGTGTCGTTTGGTTGTAGTGGTGATGGTTGGCGTCGTTTGGTTGTAGTGGTGATGGTTGGTGTCGTTTGGTTGTAGTGGTGATGGTTGGAGTCGTTTGGTTGTAGTGGTGATGGTTGGTGTCGTTTGGTTGTAGTGGTGATGGTTGGTGTCGTTTGGTTGTGGGTGGTGATGGTTGGTGTGGTTTGGTTGTAGTGGTGATGGTTGGCGTCGTTTGGTTGTAGTGGTGATGGTTGGTGTCGTTTGGTTGTAGTGGTGATGGTTGGTGTCGTTTGGTTGTAGTGGTGATGGTTGGTGTCGTTTGGTTGTAGTGGTGATGGTTGGTGTCGTTTGGTTGTGGGTGGTGATGGTTGGTGTCGTTTGGTTGTAGTGGTGATGGTTGGTGTCGTTTGGTTGTGGGTGGTGATGGTTGGAGTCGTTTGGTTGTAGTGGTGATGGTTGGTGTCGTTTGGTTGTAGTGGTGATGGTTGGTGTCGTTTGGTTGTAGTGGTGATGGTTGTAGTCGTTTGGTTATAGTGGCGATGGTTGTGAATTTTCGGTTGTGGTCGCAATGGTAGCCTACATACCAGGTTTGTCTAGAAAAACAAAATTAACGACATTTCGGCAGTTCTGGGAGAAAAATGTCAATATTCGGTGCTCCTTTCATCTCAATATTTCACCTCAATAAGTAGGCCTACCAACCTAACCATGTTTTGTGTAGATTAAGATGGACTGGAGGTGTAAAAGGAAGAAGGGAAAAGATAGGGGGGTAGTGTTCTTGCTAGTCTGATGTGGTATAGTCTTTTAAGCTCCAATCCAAAAAACAGGTTGCAGAATTCAGAGGTGAAATGACAAAGATTTTGTTTAAAACTGTTGACGCCAAAGCCTTTCAATCATGGTTTTCAGACATTTTACTCCTCCTAAAAATAGTTTTCCGAAAATTGAACTCCCACTAAAAGTGCTGAAAAGATTTGTCTGTAGGTTGCTGTTACAAGTCCTGCTTAGATTAAAAGCTGAACATTTCCTAATCTTAGTTTACTGAAATAAGTTAAGGTGTATTTTAACTCTTGAACCGGCAAGTTATCTTATATTTTAACATTTGAGCCGACAAGTCACCGTGTATTTTAACAACTCAGCCGGCAATTTACCTTATATTTTAACAACTCAGCCGGCAAGTTACCTTATATTTTAACAACTCAGCCGGCAAGTTACCTTATATTTTAACCCTTGAGCCGGCAAGTTACCTTATATTTTAACCCTTGAGCCGGCAAGTTACCTTATATTTTAACCCTTGAACCGGCAAGTTACCTTATATTTTAACTCTTGAGCCGGCATGTTACCTTATATTTTAACTATTGAGCCGGCATGTTACCGTGTATTTAAATCTGCAGGTAAACAGCTCGTGACGTTACGTCACGCACACAAAAATTACAGTCTGCTCATAAAACACAGGGTTAACATATATATTATAGGATTAACGGATTATCATAGGATTAAAAAATTCGGTTATTGGAGTTCTAATTTACAAAGTATCAACGCTCCGTAATTTAACATCCACTCTACTGTTTAATTATGCAGGTATTATTTAATCCACGAGTAGTTAAAGTAATTATTTGAATAACAACTCATGATTTTGATAGGTAAATATGTAGGGCAGTGGCTCTTAACTTGTGTTTGATTGAACCCAAGGGGTTCGGTGAGTCGGTTTCTGGGGTTCGGCGGAGATCAAGACACATCTGACCCATATTATTCGCAATCAGATTATGTCAGTGCGGACGATATTAAGAAGGGTTCGGTGTATGTGGATATGAAATTGGTTGGGTTCGGTACATGGAAATAAAGTTAATAACCACTGATGTAGGGGAAGTAATGCTTGAAATGTTTTAACTCAAAATTCTAATTTTAGCCGGTTATGGTCTGACACGTCAATGCAAAGTTGAAACAAACCACGGATTATGTTTGTGGTGTATTGTTAAGTTATTTAAACATAATGCATATAACAAAAATAGACCCACCTCACCAGTTTTTTATAACTTATATAAAAGTTTCAGAGACTACCTCCCCTCCTTGTTATAGGCCTATAACAAGTCTAAAACCTCAACCCACCTCATTCACACGTAGCAACGAACCACATTTTTTAAAATTTTAAGCATTTTACTAAACCACTGTTACTAGCGCTACCTCTGGCAAATTTGTTAAAACAGATTGTGCACTCTAGCATATAACACGACTTTTTAACCCAAGGAAATCAGCTAAAAAGTAATGTGTTGTGTTACACGCTTACTGTAGACCTACCTGTCAGGTTTATACCCAACTACGTTTTAACAGAAAAAGTTGGAGTTTTATATTAGATCTATGAATAAATAAACAATCTTAAATGAATAAAAGTAGACTACACCTAAGAAAGAAGTATTACTATGTGTATCAGTCCTCACAAGCCGATGATGAAAACTGTAATACTAAAGCGAACATGCCAGGCAAACTGACGCTGTAAATTACATTTCTGAGGCAAAAAAAAAAAAAAAAAACACAGAAAGATTTGGAGACCTTTTAGAACGGTTTAGAATTTGTCTGCAAATCTACGGCAAACAAAACTTAAGCTATTAGTTATTAAGGGACGGCATGGCCTAGCGGTAGAGAGCTAGACTACTAACCGAAAGTATCGAGTTCAAATACGGGTCCAAATCAGTAGAACGTCCCTGAGTCTACCCAGCTCTGCTGGGTACCTGACTCTAGTAAGCGAAACAAAGTGGCTACCACGCTATCCCTTAATATGCCGAGGTCTCTGTAGCAGATGAACTCTACTTCATCTGCCCTATGTGTCTTGATCAAGAACGGGAAAAGATGATGAATTAGCAATTGGTGGTAACTCTAAAATATTTAATTAAAATTAATGAGTTGTATAATATTATATTTGACAATTGGTTTTACTGCTCTGAATGCAACAGATCAAAATGATAAACACATTGAGTTTTAACCCCCCCCCCTCCCCCACGTTCAATATAATATGTACATTATCCCGAAAGTGTTTCAAAAAAACAACTGGTGTATCGATTTGAATCCAGAGTCATTCATTGATCATTGAAAATATAGTTTATTAATTAAGACACATGTTTAATTTTCTAGAGAAAATTCAAGACACTTATTATGTGAAGTTTTACATGTGAATTTTTTCATATGAAGTTACTGTGTAGTGTTTTCCATGTGAATATTTTCATGTGAAGTTTCCATGTAAAAGTTTTCAAAGTTGGAGTTGTTTTACATTATCAAATTGTATTGGTTACTTCCCCTTTGAAATTTCAAAATAACTAAGGGAAAAAACCAAAAGGTTTTAAATATAGAAACATTCAATTGTTTCGAAACAGCAAAACAATATCATGAATTATTATGTTACAAATTGTAAACATTTAAAGTTGTCTTCAATAATATGCTTTGAATTAAGAGTAATTATATATTTAGAATTTTAATTTGATGTTAGTGTAAATAATGAACCGTTAGTTGTTTTTAATAGTTTATTCATACAGAAATACAAGTTTTCAAATAGTAAGTGTTCATCAACAGTAATTCTATATTGGCGCCTAAGGTTCTAAACTTCTTAAAGATAACTATCACATAGACTATAGACATAACAATAACTGACAAACTCAGAATTTATTAAATAACCTATGCCAGGGGTCGGCAACCTTTTGAGTCGGAGGAGCCAGAAGTTACAATTTACGAAAGTTCCCAGTTTTAAAGAGCCACTAAAATTTTTATTTCAATATTTTGGCATTTGATTAAGATTAGACATATAAATTTGATTTTTGATTTGAAATTAATAGCTTTAAATATGAAAGAATATTTATATTTAAAAAAAAAATTAATATTTCGCACAAAACATGTTACAGAATGTTATCTAGCTCTGCTATGATGAAATTAGTAATCAAAAAATATAACTATAGGAATATCCCAATCCACTTTACAAGCCAATAACTTGCCAGGGAGCCTCAACACGACAAACTCCGACTAACTGGCATGGATATTGGTTTGATTTCCGTGTACCGGTCGCTTTTGTCCTTTAGTGCTCACCAGGCTTCCACCCCTCTGAACGCAGGGAAAGCTCGTACCCCACCGTCCAGTACCCGGCTCCACGGTAGGAAGTTAATAACCAAAACAAACTACGTCTCTCACGTCAAATTAATGATTACTGACGGATAGAGAAATGCATTTTGAATAAAATAACATTCCCCATTTAACGATATTTTTTAAAAGTCGGCACTTGGGCAGTGGCAAGAATGGAACCGTCATCAACGGCGGTGCGGCTGGGCCTGGTGCCCAAGCTGCGGTCAGCTGTCCGTATACTTTCTAACGCACCTACTCATTGTTCTCTGATAAGTGTTTTTAAGATGTTTAAAGTTATTTGTATTCATTATATTTTTAATGGCCACAATGTGAACTTTGGACTCCGCAGCTTAGGACGAAGCACAGTAAACTAAGCAGTCAAGAGAAACCGAGTTTGCACACCTTATTTTAGTCTAGTTCTTATGCCATTTTATTTTTTCCCTTTGGTTATTATATATGCAATTGATGTTCATGTCTTTGATGCTGTGTAAAACTATCAAATAAAATATTATTACTGATTTAAATGTTTAAAACAATTGAATTAATAAAAAAAAACTGTTTGAGGACTGTAAAGATATAGATGTTTGAAAGGGAAGACTATTTGCTTTGATGTGCTTCATTGTAATAACAACTTTTCCGATTGCTTAAAATTTGTATCATTTTAATTCTCTGTAATCACAAATTTATTTCAGCTCTACTTAAACACCCAAATTCCACCCCGTCCCCCCATCCTCTCAGCCCACCACGCCGAGGAAAAAAAATCCCTTGAGTCATCATTTAATTACATATTTGCATTTCAGGTTCGTTATTTTTTTATATTTAGACGTTTTGTATTAGATCTATGTATAAGTAAACCATCTTAAATGAATGAAAGTAGGCTACAAGTAAGAAAGAAATAATACTATTGTAAATCTGTATCAGTCCTCAAAAGCCAATGATGAAAACTGTAATACTAAAGCGAACACACAACTGACGTTGTAAATTACATGTCTGAGGCGGGAAAAAAAGTATTCTAAACTTCTTTATTGCAAAAAAAAAAAAAAAATGTATTGCTCAACTACAAATCAACCCCACTCACAGAACAAAAAAAAATACATATTAGAAACTCAACATCACACTTCTAGAAAAAAGCGAATAGATCTGCATACAGAAGCCCTCCCATTACAAGACAATTTTGGAGAAAATACACTTTCGACGGACTCCAAATTTTCTTGATCCGCATCTTTGTGAGACCCTGTTACTATGGAATTTCATGTCGTTGTTGTCTCGATGGTTTCGGCCTCTACGATGGTTTCTATTACGCTCTCGTTAACTTGCATTTTGTCTTTCTCCGTCAACATCATAATTGTCCCAATGCTTTAAGAAATTTCCATTGTTACTTAGATGCTCCCTAACTTCTTCTTTATCATTTGCATCCCAAGGCTCAATTGCCCTGTACTGTCCATCTACTAGCTGGACGCCGTCAAGAGCGCAAGTCCTCAAATGCTCACACATTTTAGGCAGGTGTCTGTCTATGTTGCAGTGGCAACAGTGCACCCTCCTCCCATTGAGGATTATAAGGACTCTGCTCTCCTTGTTGGCTTCATTTGTAAGTATAATGTGTTGTGGGACACTCTTCACATCTTCTTTTTCCAGAGAGATGGTGAATTGGACCACATTTGATTGGTGTATTCTCTTAAATGTTGGAGTTGAGTCCTGACTGCTTATAGATTTCAGAATCGCCAATATATTATCGTCGCTTGTCTTTGAAGGCAGCCATGTCAAGACATACCTAACTCAAAAATCGTATTTTATTTTCTTATTAAGAAGGGTCTGGAGAATGCGCACGTTGTTAGGGGTTTGGTACACTTAAAAAGGTTGAGAACCATTGATCTCAAGTAAGTGGTGGGGATATTAATACAAAGTTTGGGTTATCTAATAAGGCGTATGATCAGCTGTAATAAAACAACTTAGCATCTCATGGGGACGCTAGAATCAGTTCTTAAAGTATTCAAACAGTTTTTAAATGAAGAAACATACCGTGTTGGATGAAACAGACATTTGTAAAAGTTGTCTTAGGAATATTTAGTATGAGGGGAAAAATGCAAGAGAACTAACTCTGTAAGTAATGTGTGCACTAGCATTATTACAGTGGTGTCCCCTTGATGATTTGAATCGTGTTGTAGAAAGGACAATTTATCAAGGGAATTAACTCTGTCAGTCATGTACACTATCATTATTACAGTAGTGTCCCCTGTTGCTTGGTAAACTCGTTCTCTCATAATCTCACATGGTCATTACCGGCTTAAACTCATTAGCATGGCAGACTGTAGCAGGGTGGGAGAACCGAATATTTCTCTCACCCAAGTTACCAGCCGGTTTGACCTGTTTATTTCAAGAGGTTTCTGCTATCTGCCCCAGTTCCTCGCACAACCTAGATAGTACTTGAAGGGAAGTTCGTTCTGGCGGACTGACTCAGGTTTCGAACTCGAAACTCTCAGGCTAGCAGGCGTGGTCTACTACTAGACCACGTTTTATATGAACTACGGTGACAAGTGTCAATGACAACCTGTCATCTGAACGCAGACCAGAGTGGGATGAATTAAACGACCCCCCCTCCCCTTTTGAGTTCAATGTATCCGTGTTTTGTTATTATATAACAAACACCTTAGACTCTTACATATTACTTATGTTCGATGTATCAGCTGCGTGGTGATTGTGTAATCAGTAATCAACAAAACTGAACTAGTTTGATTGAAAACAAAAATATGAACACAACATAATTGCTTAAATTTGATTTTTATTAATTTCCATAACTTAAAATCTGAAACAAAAATAAAAATGTTTTTTTTTTCACTTTCCTGTCAGCACGATCATGGCTTAAGTTATCTACTGTCTTCATCAAACTGAAATAATTTAAAATCATGTATTGGTTTATATATTATATTGACATACATACTATTATAACCGGGTTACTATGCGTGCGATTATACATATATATCTAATAACTATACACACATTTTTTTGTTATGAAAGATCACTTTTCACAAACATAACGTTTAAAATGAAACAGTTTGCAAGGAATTCGAATCTTCTAGACTGGTTTTCTAACTCTAACCCGTCGTTTTCACGGAAACCAATCGAAACTTTCCTCTTTAAATTTTATTTAAAGCAGTTCAGGTATTTCTACAACAGAGAGTGACCGTATTGTAGTTCTTTTTTGATAGTATCGCTAATTTAATCCTAAACACTGCTCTAGCTTTTGCCCAAGACAAATTCTTAAAAGTAAATTTAACACCTACTTAAACCTCACCCCCTAACCCAGGGGTCGGCAACCTTTTGGGACGGAAGAGCCAAAAGTTACTATTTACCACATTTCACAGTTTTTAAAGAGCCACACACATTTTTATTTCAATATTATATTTGATTAGGTATATATATATATATATATATATATATATATATATATATATATATATATATATATATATATATACTTTACATTTAAAATAAAGGGCTTAAAATATGAAATAATATTTATTCATATAAAAACATACACGTTTCGCACAAAACATATTAAAGTAGTTTAGCAAGCTCTGCTCGAAATTAGAAAGTTTACATTGTTATTAGATCTATATCTTTAATACCGAGTATTGCAGACTAATATTTTAATGAGTTTTAAAAATAAATTAAAATAATTATTAATATGTGTGCATGGAGCTGAAGAGCCGCATCTTGACATCAAAAGAGCCGCATGCGGCTCGCGAGCCGCAGGTTGCCGACCCCTGCCCTAACCCCTAACTCTGTCGCCGAACCTGCCTATCCCAAATTCTATCAACGATATTAAACTTCGATACGATACTTCATAGCTCAGCCGGCGATCTTTACAACCCGATACTAACTTGTTAGTAAAAAAATGTACTCACATTTAGCCATGTTTGTGACCTAGAATAGAAAAGTTAGGTCACGTGACTGAAATTGCTCACAGTGTGTCGTGTTATTTAGCTAATGTTATCTTCACATAATAACCCAAGATGCATTTATCACATGCTTTCACTATAAGCAATACTCTATAGATATGGTAATGTTATCTTCACTTTATAACCTAAGATACATTTATCACATGCTTTCACTATAAGCTCTAGTCTATAGATATGCTAATGTTATCTTCACTTTATAACCTAAGATACATTTATCACATGCTTTCACTATAAGCTCTAGTCTATAGATATGCTAATGTTATCTTCACATTATAACCTAAGATACATTTATCACATGCTTTCACTATAAGCACTATTCTATAAATATGCTAATGTTATCTTCACATTATAACCTAAGATAGATTTATCACATGCTTTCACTATAAGCACTATTCTATAAATATGCTTATGTTATCTTCACATTATAACCTAAGATAGCTGTATCACATGCTTTCACTACAAGCTCTAGTCTATAGATATGCTAATGTTATCTTCACGTTATAACCTAAGATAAATTTATCACATGCTTTCACTACAAGCTCTAGTCTATAGATATGGTAATGTTATCTTCACATTATAACCTAAGATACTTTTATCACATGCTTTCACTATAAGCACTAGTCTATAGATATGCTAATGTTATCTTCACATTATAACCTAAGATAGCTGTATCACATGCTTTCACTACAAGCTCTAGTCTATAGATATGCTAATGTTATCTTCACATTATAACCTAAGATACATTTATCACATGCTTTCAATATAAGCTCCAGTCTATAGATATGTTAAGACAGATCTAGTTAAAACAAAATATTTGTGGTAGAGGTACTGTTATGAAGCACTAGATACTAGAGTTATCCAAATTATTTAAACCCATGTCTCTATCTTTGTATTTTCTCTGATTCGACAAACTCATATTGCTTGAATCACTAACACCCGAAAAAAAATCATGGCTTACGATTTTTATTTGTTTTTTGAAAAGTGTTTTTGTTTATTGTAATTTGTTGCAATTCGAGTTTAACTCACCCCCTTATCCCCTCCCCCCAAAGGTCGATGTTACCACCCCCCCCCCCCTCTAAAGTTCAATTTCCAGGTTAACCCCTCTCATTATTTTAGCGCTATCACCATAAATGATATCAAGTTCTGAGGTTACCACTCAATAAATATTTGGTTAAAATATTTTACCGTTCCCATTGTTATGTGGATTCTGTAGGAAAAACAAACAATCATGCGTTATGTTACATATGTTTACGTTAATTTTTTCTATTATGTGGTGTAGGGTGGATTAATAGCAACTAGCTAATATTGTAATAAGGAAATTATATATATATATATATATATATATATATATATATATATATGTATGTATTCCTTGTGATTGGTTGTGATAAGCCTTATAGTTTTTTTGTCTGGTCAATGACAGACTAATTATTATAGCTTTCAACTAATCAGGTAATTGAATAACTCAAAAATATACTTCATTTCACGTAAAACAATTACGTTTTCTCTTTTAAACAAATAATTGCACTCTTTTAAACAAATAATTGCACTCTTAAACAATCACAGGAATGTTTTTACTCAGCTAACGAGTTCCCATTTTTATCATAAACTTACATTGTCGTGCTTGTTTTTATTAGATTTCCCATGGTTTCCACGGCCGAATTTGATTTCAGATGAGTTGCCATGGTTACCGTTGTCGTGTTTTTTCGATGAGTTTCTATGGTTATCGTTGTCAAGGATATGCTTTATTATGGAACCAAATTTGGATCCAGATTTTTTGTCTTCTGTTTTCTTCTTCTCCTGGTAGGAATAAAAAAGTTATCTTATAATTTTTTCAGTTAAAGAGAAAATGTTTTCATAAAACTCTCTAAACAAAATATTCGGAAAGACAACTCTTGAACCTGGCCACGCCGCTCAAATATTAACTCCCTTGTTAGTAAAAGTGTTTTGCATATAACCCCTGTGTTACTCTCACCCCTGCACCCCCACCCATGGACCGCCCTGTGTTAGTATCACACCTTACCACCCCCACCCCTAGACCCTCCTGTGTTAGTATCACCCATGCCCCACACCCCCTCTGTTAGCATCACCCCCTACCACCCCACCCCTAAACTAACCTGTGTTTGTATCACCCCCTGCCACCCCCCACCCCTAGACCCCCCTGTGTTAGTATCACCCCTTACCACCCCCACCCCTAGACCCTCCTGTGTTAGTATCACCCATGCCCCACACCCCCTCTGTTAGCATCACCCCCTACCACCCCACCCCTAAACTAACCTGAGTTTGTATCACCCCCTACCACCCCACCCCTAGAACCCCCTCTGTTAGTATCACCCCCTACCACCCCACCCCCTAGACCCCCCCCCCCCCCTGTGCTAGTCTTCTCCCTAGTTATACGCACTATACAATTCTCGCTCTACTCTCACATCTAAAACTTACATCTTCCTTGTTCTCTGCATTGTCCTTGGCCGGTTTAGCCGCCTGTCGAGGTAATGTTAAAGAGCCGGTTAACAAAGTTAACCTTAACTTACATTGTTATCAAATCAGCTAACCCCTGGGTGTAGGAAATGCTTACCTGATCTGAGGGACCGTCGGAGGATTTCTGTTGAGTAATTCAAAATTCATTTAGATACAATAATTTCAAAATCAGCACCGTTTTCAATATATATATATATATATATATATTGTATATATATATATATATATATATATATATATATATATATATATATATATATATATATATATATATTGTATATATATATATATATATATATATATATATATATATATATATATATATATATATATATATATATATATATATATATATATATATATATATATATATATATATATATATATATATATATATATATATATATATATATATATATACATACATATAAATCTCAATTTCAACGAAAAACGATACATTTTATGGAGAAAAGAGATTTTCATATATCATCAACGTCCAATAATTATTTAAGAATCCATTTTGGCATTCAAAACTATGCAAAAATCAAACTGTTTTCTACGCACAGCAGTATACGTTACTTTTCTCTGACACTTAAACCGTCATAATACGATTGGAAAAGGATTTATAAATTACATTTTGTTTTTATTCATTGCTGTAAATCTCAGAACAGGAGGTTGAGTATTGTGCAAATGTGAGCCAGAACCTGATGAACAAAGCCTTAATTAAGGGGTTAAACTATACCACCATGCACAGAATGATGATAACCAAATAATTTAAAAAAATATTTTTTACCTTCCAGGCTTCATTAGAATATTTATGAGGCGATCTCTGTGGAAAATGTTTTAGAAAACAGATTACTAATGGAAATACATGACAAACGTATCTAACAAAACGGATTATTAATGGGAATACATGAAACAAAGTATCTAACATAACAGAATACTAATGGGAATACATGAAAAAAACGTATTTAACAAAACAGATTACTTATTGAAATACATGAGAAAAACGTATCTAACAAAACTTATTGAATAAAAATTGATGCGAATAATATACTATTTGAACGCTATTCTAAAATTGTGTATCCTTTAAATTGTGTATTCATTAAATTGTGTATTCTTTAAATTGTGTATTCTTTAAATTGTTTATCCATTAAGTTGTGTATTCTTTAATTTGTGTATTCTTTAAGTTGTGTATTCTTTAAGTTGTGTATTCTTAAAATTGTGTATCCTTTAAATTGTGTATTCATTAAATTGTGTATCCTTTAAATTGTGTATCCTTTAAATTGTGTATCCTTTAAATTGTGTATCCTTTAAATTGTGTATCCTTTAAATTGTGTATCCTTTAAATTGTGTATCCTTTAAATTGTGTATCCTTTAAATTGTGTATCCTTTAAATTGTGTATCCTTTAAATTGTGTATCCTTTAAATTGTGTATCCTTTAAATTGTGTATTCTGTTAGTTCGAGCGTGGGTAACATTTTGTTAAAACGACTAGAAAATATCAAAACATGTTGCTAAAGTTATAATGTATTAGAACATGTTGATAGTAAAATAACAGGAGAATGTGTTTGTCATGCAATTCCGTATTACAGCTGATCATAACAGCAACGTACCTTGGTTACATTATAACAAGTTGGTCATGTTACAAACATACCTCAGGTACATATAACATAACTATAACATGTCGATTATAACGACCATGTAAAAAGAAAGTACCTTAGTATTTTTGGAGTTTCTCACAACTCCCTGAAATATTGAAGGAAAAGTTTTAATTTTGACAGGAAATAATTTTTTTTCCATAAATCAACATCGGAAAAATCAGAAAAACCACGATTGAGAGAGAATAAAGATTGCTGGTATGAAACAGGATTGAGAGAGAATAAAGATTGCTGGTATGAAACATGATTGAGAGAGAATGGATAAATTACCTTAGATTTCCCTGGGGTTTGATTCGCCGTCTAACGAAGAAAAAAGTCATTAGCTTGATTAATTAAACCATTTTAATTTCCTTTCCTTATAAATGAGAAAATAATGACTTATGAGTATATGAGTAGCAATATTCTTCCTTTAAAACACATAAGTATCCAACATTAAGTTTAATGGTTTTAAAATACACAAATGTCCAATGCAGACTTTGAAATCAGTGTTTCTTCCAGACTTTTTTCTCCTGGAGGGGGGGGGGGGGGCACTTGATATTTTCGGGGGAGGGGGGGGGCGGTCAACATTTTTCGGGGGGGGGGGCGGACACTAGTAAAAGTGTATGTTTACTATATAAATTCCATCTCGGTCGGGGGGGGGGGGGGGGTTGGGGGCGGCAGACTTTCTTCGGGGAGGAGGGGGGCTAAGCCCCCCCCCCCCCCGAATATCCAATAACGACTTTAAGACACAGCCAGCTAATCTGATCCAATACTATGACGTGAAACATAAAACACATATATTATGACTAATTTCATGACGTTAAAACATAAAACACATACATTATATTCACCACGTTGACTTAAAGGTAGACGATATAATGAGAATAGTATACGTAATTTAAGGATAAATACTTTTGTTTACAATACAAACAAATAAACAAATGGTTTTCTAATTTAATCTCACCTCACTGTTTCCTGGGTTTTTATCGGGTCCCTGCAAGGTACAAAATACGTTAGAATAGTTTCTGTTTGTCTGACAATACATTATATAATGTTATGTTATATTATGTTATATAATGCTATATTCATGATAATCTTTCCAGTTCATGCCCATGACACATGGGACAGGTAAAGTAGAGTTCATCTGCTTCAGGGACCTTGGCATATGAAGAGGTAGTTTTGTCAGCACTATGCCCAGCCACATTTACTTTCCCTAAAGTGAGTTAGGTACCCATCAAGAGCTGGGTGGGTTTAGGGTCATTATATTGACTCGAAACCGGATTCGAGCTCATGATTTATCGCGTTAGCAGTCTACCGCTTGGCCACGACGTCCGATAATGTAGTGTTACTTGGATGATTTATTGTTTAACTTCAGCTAGCTACCCTACAATTAAATTATATTTTGTTTAATGTTCGTCAAATTCATCAAAATAGTAAACAACAACAACATCATGCAACAAGTATTCTTGTTACAGGAACGTTTACATACCACGCCGTTCCCGGGATTCTTGTCACTATTTCCGGGATTCTTGTCACTATTTCCGGGATTCTTGTCACTATTTCCGGGAGACTTGTCACTATTTCCGGGAGTCTTGTCACTATTTCCGGGAGACTTGTCACTATTTCCGGGAGTCTTGTCACTATTTCCGGGAGACTTGTCACTATTTCCGGGAGACTTGTCACTATTTCCGGGAGTGTTGTCACTATTTCCTGGCGATAGCTGAGGACCCATAAAATAGTTAGAGAAACTAGCTGTAAATATATGGTGGGGGTTGGTGTGGGGGTTGGTGTGGGGGTTGGTGTGGGGGTTGGTGTGGGGGTTGGTGTGGGGGTTGGTGTGGGGGTTGGTGTGGGGGTTGGTGTGGGGGTTGGTGTGGGGAATAAACTCACCTTTGTAAGGTGTGTCATCATGCTCCGCTGTAAAGTGAAGAAAAAAATGTTTATACTTACAGATATTATCTTGTAAACAAACTTTTATTCCAACAATTTTCTTTTAAAAAGTTTACTATACCAATAGCTATTTGCTATGTAAACATTAGTTAGCGTTAGTTTTCAACCAATCCGACTTCGCCACTAATGATTGGAACATTTTTGCTAGTTACCTTTATCTTGAGAGAGGCAGTAGACTGAAATTAAAAAAAAACCGTTGATGATTTTCAATATCTAAGCAGAGTTGTAGCGAACTATTAATCTTGTACCCCCTCCCATATTTACATGTTTATTCCAGTTGAAGAAAAAGCCCCCCCCCCCCTCCCACGATTACATTTTTCCCCGTATCACACAAATAATCTAGAAAACCATCCATAGAGTGAAGCAGCTTCCTATTCACTTAATTTCAAATGTGATGTAGCTCAATATAAGCTTTTTATTTTATTTTTCTATCAAATTTGGCGCCCCTTAGGACCGGCGCCCGGGGCGGCTGCCCCCTAACTACGCTCTGCAACTAAGATTTAAAACTGATAAAGTAGTCGATGTCAGAGACGAAACCTTTAAAGTAGTCCCATAGATACGGTCGATGATTGGGACACAGATATAGATTTTTCTCTAATGTAATCTCAAACACAACTCGTCTCAGCTTTTTTTTACAGGCATATTTTTATTTTTATAACACACAAAGAGTCAGCGTACACACACATGTACACAAACTTACACAAACTTACACAAACATACACAAATGAACACACATTTACACACACTACAATATTTACATACATTAGCATACGTAAGTTAGGTATCCATCAGAGCTGGTTGGATTCAAGAAAATTGTAGTGACTTGAACACGGATTCGAACTCAATACTTTTGAGTTAGCAGTCTAGCAGTCTACCGCTTGTTAATTTACTAGGACGATTTATTGATTAATTTCAGCTAGTTACACCACAATACCAATACATTTTGTTTAAATGTCCGTGAGATTCATCAAAATAGTACCTGAAAAAACAACACCATGCATCAGGTTTTCTTGTTACAGGAACATGTACTTACCTCATCGTTTCCAGGGTTTTTATCGCCGTTTCCGGGAGTCTTGTCACTATTTCCGGGAGTCTTGTCACTATTTCCGGGAGTCTTGTCACTATTTCCGGGAGTCTTGTCACTATTTCCGGGAGTCTTGTCACTATTTCCGGGAGTCTTGTCACTATTTCCGGGAGTCTTGTCACTATTTCCGGGAGTCTTGTCACTATTTCCGGGAGTCTTGTCACTATTTCCGGGAGTCTTGTCACTATTTCCGGGAGTCTTGTCACTATTTCCGGGAGTCTTGTCACTATTTCCTGGCGATAGCTGAGGACCCATAAAATTGTTAGTTAGACAAACTAGCTGTAAAGAAGAGACACAGTTTTCATTAAATTGACACGAAATACACTCAGAAACTTGGATTGATAAACGATATCCATACACCATAGAACACCAACCGTAATGGCATAAGGTAACAAGTAATTTTAGTGTTGCAGTAAGTAGTAATCCATAGCGTTCGGTAGGAATTCCCACTACGAACAAGAATGTAAGGGGGGGGGGGTACGAAAACGCAACAGACATGATAGATAACACACGCTCCGCCCATCCTTGACGTCACATGTCAATTTAACAAAATTTTGTATTTCGGATTATTCTTCTTCTTCGTTCTTAATTTTAGTGTTGGAAGGGATCCCCCTCCAACACAATTAAGGATACGTGTCAACTGGTTATGCGCCATTGAGGCCATTGACTCCGATTTCAGACTGCATTTCTATTTGGATTTGCTTCCATAGCCTTTGTCCAACCAAGAACTCGAGACTTTTCGGTTTAGCAACTATGAGCTTTACCGACTCGACCACGCCGACCCCTTGTATTTCGGATAATTTGATACTTTTAGGGGACTGGCCTAGTCTATTGAGTCCACGGACTGCTCGCAACAAGGTAGCCTATTTAAAACTAAGAGTAAGTTGCAATGTCGGAATTTAGGCCTGTCGATTATATAGGCCTCTCGGTCATTTAAGCCTGTCGGTCATTTAGACGCGACTGACATTGATGCATGTGTTTGACCAACATTTTGGTCTCGTGAATGCCGTGTTAATATACCTGGTCAAACAAAAGCGCAGACATATTAGCTGTCTGACATGCGCAGACATATTAGCTGTCTGACATGCGCAGACATACTCGCTGTCTGACATGCGCAGACATATTAGCTGTCTGACATGCGCAGACATACTCGCTGTCTGACATGCGCAGACATACTAGCTGTCTGACATGCGCAGACATACTCGCTGTCTGACATGCGCAGACATACTAGCTGTCTGACATGCGCAGACATACTCGCTGTCTGACATGCGCAGACATACTCGCTGTCTGACATGCGCAGACATACTAGCTGTCTGACATGCGCAGACATACTCGCTGTCTGACATGCGCAGACATACTCGCTGTCTGACATGCGCAGACATACTCGCTGTCTGACATGCGCAGACATACTAGCTGTCTGACATGCGCAGACATACTCGCTGTCTGACATGCGCACTATCTCTGCTACTCGGCAGTTACTGGGTGCACCAGCGTTGCGCATGTGCACATAACTACACCACAGATAGTTAAATATATGTGGTGGGGGTTGGTGTGGGGGTTGGTGTGGGGATTGCATGGGGGTTGGTGTGGGGGTTAGTATGAGAGTTGGTGTGGGGGTCGGTGTGGGGGCTGGTGTGGGGGCTGGTGTGGGGGCTGGTGTGGTGGTTGCTGGGGGGTAGGTGTTGGGGTTGGTGTGGGGGTTGGTGTAAGGGTTGGTGTGGGGATTGGTGTAGGGGTTGGTGTGGGGGTTGGTGGGGGTTGGTGTGGGGAAAGAGAGTAACGCTAAATAAAACAGTGTGAAAATAAACCAGGTTAAATACTCTGGAATCAACTCACCTGTGTCAGGTGTGGTGACACGCTCCGCTGTGAAGGAAAGTCAACATTTGTTCATGTTTACAAGGGTTTTCTTTATAGAAGACTAAACTTTTATTTCAATAGTTTTCTTTTAAAAACATACTATACCAATAAACGTAAGCTACGAAGAAAAAACATCGTTACCTTGGATTTGTCAGAGGCTGAAGGCTGAAATGAAAACAAATATTAAAAACCGAATTACCCTCATATTTACATTATACACATTTACACATTTGCAAACATGTTTACAGTCATTCTCAAACATTGACACACATATTACACATAAGTTTACACAGAATGACACACACGTGTGCATACAATTACACACACACAATTACTTGCAAAGGGAAGTAAGCAGACATCCCTGATTTTCCTTCAAATACTGACAAGAAATGACTGACCAAAATGGCCTCAGCGTTGGTAAAAAGAAAATGAAAATCACAAGTCAACTTACGTGCTTGGATGAAGTGGAGTTCTGTAATAAACATGGGGTCATATTAATGTGTTAATATTTGAAATTTTCTTTAAAATAATTCCTATACCAATAGATATGTTAACATTAGTGGAGTTCTGTAATAAACATAGGGTCATATTATTGTGTCAATATTCTAAATCTATTGAACTTTTACTAAATCCTATTTTAAAAGCTGTAAGTACAAGAAAGTTGATATATTGCCCAAACATTAAACGTACAGATATAGAAGTAGATGTAATTTAGGTGTAGTACGGTGCATTTGAGGGGGTGGGATGTAGTATTATTAGAAGATTAATTAACTCTACCCTGATTTATAACGTGCAAAGGCGTCGCCAGTGGGGGTGCGGGGGGTGGGGGGGGGGGTTGGGGGCGTATCCGGTAAGAGCTTTTTTCGAATGTTATGCTGCTATTTTTGAGCTATGTTTTTTCAACATGAAGTTCTTTTCAAAGCAAAACTAAATATGAAAAAAATGATAAGGGAAAAAACAAAGCTTTTTATGCCGTCGATTTCTTCAATACTGTCCCTACCCCGATAACTTGACGCCACGCATGTGTTAGTAAATCTCTATTTTCGAACCTGACGGTCCATAGAGCAAGTGAAGTAGAGTTCACCTGTTTTTGTAACCTCAGCATAAAAAGTAATGGTGTGGTCAGCACTTTGCCCAGTCGCCTTTACTTTGGCTAACTTGTTTAGGGTACCCATCATGACCCATCAGGGACGCCATACGGAATTAAACCCGGATTTGAACTAGAGATGTTCGTGTTATGAGTCGTATGCTCTACCATTTGACCACGCCTATGTTAAATGGCTGAAATAAACACTACAACTTACAGCTGATTCGTCACTGGTCGAGTTGCCCCATCCGGCGTCCTGTGAATAAAAAAATGTAATTAATTGGGCCGCTAACAGGTTATCGACTACATTTACCCGTTGTGAAGATTAGCTGGAAACTTTTAGCACTGTTTTCATTAAAATAACCAACTCTAATACATAAAGCTACTGTTATAAAGGACTTAACTCAACTCGAATAAATAGATCTATTAATATATTTATTTAGTTCAAAGTAAAATTACAACCCACGCATATTGATACAATGGAATATGGTCCACTAATAAATTATGACACACTTTTTAAAACGATTTTGCTTCCCTCGTTACAAAATGCGAGACCTCCTCCCCTTAAAATGACGTCATGCTCCTCAAAATTGATACCTTTGTATTTTTTTTAACCGCGATTTTAAAAAGAAAATAATGACTTAGCTCGAACATTATTGATCAATTTTCATTCAAATTTACAAAGAAATATTTTGAAATGTAAATTTAGGCTTAGACTCATTTTGTAATATTATTTCTTTTAAATGCACAAATGTGAAGTACACATTCTGCCCCCCCCCCCCCCCCAAACCACACACCCGTTCCCCTCGCCCTACGTCAAAAAAATCGGTACCCCCCCTCCCCTCTAGGCACTGCCGTCATTTAACTTAAGGGCGACCCCTTAAACCAAACGAAAACAATAAACCATACATACGGTTGTGTTGGTCTCCTCTGTGTTGTCGGGTGTATTTCCGGCGTGCTGATGGGTAAAAATAAACCACGTGACATAAAGAATATATATATATATATATATATATATATATATATATATATATATATATATATATATATATATATATATATATATATATATATATATATATACTCTCGTGAGCTCTGAGGTAAGTTTACTACAAAGGTTACAGTGTGATTGATGTTTCAGTTTGTACATCCCAACAACAAATTAAAACGGTACAGTTAGGTACAGATCCTTCCGAAGAGCCTGGTATGTCGGCCTCCCAAGTCCCCTACATAATAGCGTGGGAGAGGTGAGGTGCAAGACTGCCGGGAACCAAGAAGGGTTTGCTCTCGACCCTAACCAGATATCTTGACTTAAGCTGCGGCCTTCGCGTGGCTTCGGAAGAGTGCCACTAGTCGGACCCAGCTCATGACCCCCCATAATATGTGCGGAATGGCTAGTGGTAGCCAACAGCAGCTAGAGGTTTTTGATCTGGCCGAGTAGAACTGCTGTATGCGTTAGGCTCAAAGAATGGCCGAACGCCCCCCACAATCAAGCTGGGTACCAGGCGGTGGGACGATGTCCCGCGTCTGGTGGGTGGGGAAGGAAAGCCCGGTGAGAGCCCACGGAAGTAGCGACCGATGTGTGGGAAACTCCTGTGGTCGGAGTTTGCTACACTGAGGCCTGCCTGTCTAATGGAAGTCAACCTTCTGAGCCGGTTTTCGTATAAGGAAGGAAGGAAGGTACAGATCCAATTGGAACTAAAGGATGTTTCTATTATTAATCTTTTCGAAATGTTCGATTGTTTGGCGAGAGTTAGTTTTTAGCATAACTCTTTTAAAGGGAGGTAATACACGTTCTATTCAAGTAAAATTGTACTTATAAATATATTGAAAGACATTTAAACTAATATAAAAGCTAATTGCAGTTCAAATTAAAAAATAATTTTAGCAGATTAAAAAAAAAACATCCAGCTAAAATTTAAATATTTAGAAGCTAATTTTAGTTTGTATAAAAAGGATATTTAAAACTAATTTTAAAAAAGATATTTCAGCTGATTTTAAAAATATTTTCTACTATATATTAAATCAATTATTTCAGTTTGTATTAAAATATAATTTCAATTTTTATTTTTAAAAATTTCAGTTTTTCTTAAAAAATAATTTCAGTTTTTATTAACAGATAACTTCAATGCATAAAAAGATAAGTTCCGGTAATTATAAAAGATAAAAAACAACCTGTGTAAACGATCACACAAAATATTGACTTACTGCTAGCGTAATTATAATTAACACCACAGCCACAAGGGCAATCAAAATTACGTTTTTCTTCATTGCGTAATCTGTGAAAGAAAAAGTAATTTTATTTCTTGTTGTTTAAGTTATAAAAAAATAATAAAAATAAATTGTTATTATCATCTACTCACGTAAGTTTTTAAAATCACTTTTCCTCCCATTTTTAAGAGACATCCTTGTCATTTAACTACCCAAACTTTGGTAACATACACACGAGCGTAAGGATGAGAGTCGAGAAGTTTTTGTATGAAACTAATTTAAAACCATCTTGATTGGCTCCTATTTTAGCTGTCGTCTCGGGGTTTAGTCTACAGTGCTCTTAAGAATTTTAATTATCAGTAGAGGGACAATTTATCAGTAGAGGGACAATTTAAGTATCAGTATAGGGAGAATTTTTCAGTAGAGGGACAATTTAAGTATCAGTATAGGGAGAATTTATCAGTAGAGGGACAATTTATCAATAGAGGGACAATTTAAGTATCAGTATAGGGAGAATTTTTCAGTAGAGGGACAATTTAAGTATCAGTATAGGGACAATTTATCAGTAGAGGGACAATTTAAGTATCAGTATAGGGACAATTTATCAGTATAGGGACAATTTATCAGTAGAGGGACATGGAGGCTGGGGGGGGGGGGGGGGGAATTATACATGAACTGTTAGAGTAACCATTTAACTTAACAGTAACCACAAGTACAGCACAACTCTACTTCCCTTACCCTCCAGTGCTTCACATCTTGTTATAAAAACCGACTACTCACGTGATAAGTTGGTTGTACGTACGTTGAGTCACCTTCTTCAGAAGACAGGGTTGTCAAGAGAACCAACCCTTCTGATGACAACCACCCTGTTTTATAGCTAGTGACATCTACGTCAACCGAGGATTAGCTTAAGGATTAGCTTGAGGATTAGCTTGATTATTGTTTTCCTCAGTGTGTTAATTCCGGCGTTTAAATGATGACGTACATTTATAATTAGGACTTGTAGGTCAAGGTCAAAATGGGAATAGATTTTAAGTTTAAAGCCTAATTTTAATTGTAGCCCCACAAGCATAATGTATTATTCAGTTGGGAAAAAAAATATCGAAGGCGGGAGAAAATGGAATGTTAGAACATCTTTTCTAAAACTTTTCTAATTGTCTTTGATGTGATTGACATTGCGAGATATTAAGTGTGAATGACATTTTGAACTGAGGTATGAATGACAAAGTCAGGTGATGTATAAATGACATTATGAGGAGAGGTTTGAATCACATTTTGTGGTGAGGTTTGAATGACATTTTGTGGTGAGGTTTGAATGACATTTTGTTTGAATGACATTTTGTTTGAATGACATTTTGTGATGAGGTTTGAATGACATTTTGTGGTTAGGTTTGAATGACATTTTGTGGTGAGGTTTGAATGACATTTTGTTTGAATGACAATTTGTGATGAAGTTTGAATGACATTTTGTGGTGAAGTTTAAATGACATTTTGTGGTGAGGTTTGAATGACATTTTGTTTGAATGACATTTTGTTTGAATGACATTTTGTGATGAGGTTTGAATGACATTTTGAGGTGAGGTTTGAATGACATTTTGTGGTTAGGTTTGAATGACATTTTGTGGTGAGGTTTGAATGACATTTTGTTTGAATGACATTTTGTTTGAATGACATTATGTGATGAAGTTTGAATGACATTTTGTGGTGAGGTTTGAATGACATTTTGAGGTGAGGTTTAAATGACATTATTCTATTAATCAAGATTGCAAGTAACAGACACCGTTTCGGATCCCAGGAAACAAGGCCCTATCTGCTAATCAAATCCGTCCTTAAGGACCAAAAATCTGTCCTTTAGGACCTAAAATCTTTCCTTTTGAAATAAGACCCTTTGACAATACACTAGGAGAACTAAGCAAATAAACACTTGAACCAATTACACTTACATCATAATAAAAAATTATAGCCTTACTTAGCAAACACTGACGCAATTAAGTACACTCCCCCTATCAATTATATACCAATTTGCGACGTTAAGAGAATACATACAATACCTGCCCCATTTTATAATTGTATGCATGTTATACGGTATGATGATGTAGAGAGAATACATCAAACAATACCTGCCCCCCCCCCCCCATTTTACATTTGTATGCATGTTATACGGTATGGCGACGTTTAAATTTTGAACAATAGTTCGCACGTTCTGTTCAGTAAACATATTGGTTACATTTTAATCGAACATTGGCCAGCCAGTTCGAGAAATGGCTAATAAAAACAGGCTAAAGTCCGAAAAAGTAACAACGTCTTATTTCTAAGTATTTAAATTCGTGTGTTGTGATTGTTCCATTTTTTTTTTGACTGGTCATTTGTTTTGTATATTTTTATATGCTGAGTCTACCAGTTTGGGATGGGTTAGAGTATTGTGAAGAAAAGCCTGTTGCCTTGTATTAGGGTGGTGACATCACTTTGATTAACCAATCAAGTAATGCAAGACAAAAATATCCACTAGACAACACGTTGTTACATAATACTATGTGATATCAACTCAGATTGTTCTTGTAGCTTTAATGTTATTGGCTGCCTAATTTTAATTTGTTCTGATTTCATTCGCTCATTAATTTTACTAGTTCTGGTGTTATTGGCTTCCAAGTGGAGGCGACCTAGTCGACGCGAATCCTTCCATCATATTGTTAACATGAATTATAAACGTGCTTTTTTTTAGATTTTGCAATCAAAGCGACCGTAAAAATAATAAAAAATAAAAACTTGAGTCTAAAAATAAATCAGAAATTTAACATTTTTAGAATCGATGTTATAAAGGTTGCAAATCCAGAGAACTGGAAAATAATTTGTTGAGTTTAAGGCTACATTTCTATTTATTTTCATCAAGCCTAGTAAAAGTGTATGTTCACTATATAAATTCCATCTCGTTCGTGGGGGGGGGGGGGGGGGGGGGTAGACTTTCTTGGGGTGGGGGGTGGGAGAGCCCCTCCGAAGAGATGCCTGGAAGAAACTCTGGATGCCATTGTTTATGTCGCCCTTACATGTGAAAACCAAATTTTTTTTGCTTATTTTACATTTTTTTAAATTTAGTTACCGAAAATATTAAAACATCAAATACATCCAATCTTTAGTAAAGTCCAAAAACACTAGACAGACAGGATTTTATAACCGTGTTAATTGTAACTACGCCGTGTATGATTTTCAAATACATTTGATTGGCCTCTCGAATACCATTGAAACTCGCGTCCAATTTGCTAGTAGTTCTGATTTCAATCGCTTCTTAACTTTACTCGTAGTTCTGATTTCATTAGCTCCCTAATTTTGCTAGTATTTCTGTCGATATTGGCCACCCAACTTTATTAGAAGCTTTGATGTTCTAAATCTCACAGATAGGAGCACGATACACACCGACTGATAAGGCCAGTCACTGCTGGGATTGTCAGAGATTTATAGCAGGTTTTGTAGAGTTATTGGCCCTGTTCCCATGAGGCACCATGCTGTCATTCAGTCAACGTCGGTGCTATTCGGTGCTTGTCAATATTGTGTGTTGATGGAGGTGCTGTTTGGTGCTTGGTAAGTCTGTTTGCTGCATACACAAGCTGTTTGGTCTTGTCAAATATTTTTTTTGCACGATTACAATACGTTAGATTCTGTGCTCTGTATACTGTTTACGAAAAAGTAAAAACAAGGTAAACAACCCATAACAGTTTTCCCAAAAATCAATATAAATACAAATACATTAATATCTATAAATCTTAAAAGTAAATCATTATGTGTTAACTAATAACAAATAACACTTAAAATTGCAGGTACTTATTTCAGTGTTTGTTATATAAATATTAAAAAAAATATTATGTTGATCATTAATTAAAATTGAAAACCATTAACTTTGTCACATTGTTAGTAATATAAGAATTTATCACTCGAGGAGGATATGATGGAATCTAGTTGTTAATGTCATTTGCTAAAAAATAATTAAAGTTGTATCATTTTATAATTCTCTGTAATCCGAAATTTCAGCTCTACTTAAATATAAAACCCCAAATTCCACCCCGTCCCTTCCCCCCTCAGCCCACCACGCCGAGGAAAGAAAAATCCCCTGAATTATCATCTAATTACACATGCATTTTCAGGTTGGTTTATTTATTTTTTAATTTAGACGTAAAAAAAGTGTATATAAAATACTATGCCTAGACTTGATGCATTCAAGTACAGCTTACACGCATGCATCCCATTAGCGCCTACCCGCTCATTAAATACATATGTTGTATCAATGACCTACTGAATTAACCTCTCTTTATATTTCTTAAAACGTTTTCTTTTTTTAGTAAGTCTAATCTGTATCAAATTTCAAACACACACACACAATATATATATATATATATATATATATATATATATTTATATATATATATATATATATATATATATATATATATATATATATATATATATATATATATATATATATATATATATATATATATATATGTGTGTGTGCGCATTATTAATGGGCTGAGAATGGGTCTTTATAAACCGCTGCTTTCAACAAGGAGATGGCACTAAAACGTGACGTCACTTCCAGACTCAGAGTGACGATCTTAGCGTGTCTACACACCTGTAAAGAAAACCATTCTTCTACCTAAAACACAAAGCCATACTTCTACCTAAAACACAAAAACATTCTTCTACCTAAAACACAAAGCCATTCTTCTACCTAAAACACAAAACCATTCTTCTACCTAAAACACAAAATCATTCTTTAACCTAAAACACAAAACCATTCTTCTACCTAAAACACAAAACCATTCTTCCACCTAAAACACAAAGCCATTCTTCTACCTAAAACACAAAGCCATTATTTAACCTAAAACACAAAACCATTCTTCTACCTAAAACACAAAACCATTTTCTACCTAAAACACTAAACCATTCTTTAACCTAAAACACAAAACCATTCTTCTGCTACCAATACGAAATCATTCTTCTAAAAAAACATTCTTCTACTTAAAACACAAAACCTTTCTTCTACTAGGAACACAAAACCATTCTTCTACTAGAAATACAAAACCATTTCTCTAGAAACACAAACCCATTCTTCTACACGAAATACAAAGCTTTGAAACCAGTTTATGGCCTCAATGGCGCATAACCAGTTGACACGTACCGCTTAATTGTGTTGGATGCGTGGTCGAGTCGGCAAAAAGCTCATGATTGATAAATTCGAACAAAGTCTCGAGTTCAAACCCACTGGCAGATAAATCTCGATCCCCTTCAACACTAATAATTAAGAACGAAGAAGAAGAAAAGAAGAAGAAACCAGTTTACCTAATCGCTTCCAACAAACCTTTACGATTAAAACAAGTCAGGTGATTGTAATTTAATGGGTGAGCGATCAAGCATGACGAGGTTATGTCACACATGTGTTACAAGGTGTGTTAAGGTATTGAAGGATGTGGGTGGGTGTGGGTGTGGGGTTTCAAGATATAAGCTCATTTGGCGGTAACTAGTGTCAAACTAATTTTTTATGCATGCGGTGCTGTGTGAAGATATTTATCTAAGTGGTTCTGTTATTATATTTCTTTTTGGATAGCTGTTGCCAAAAAGAGCTACTCTATTTCGAGATTTGTCAAATTTTATTCATCTTAAATTTCAATATATTTATTCCTATGACCACCATCGGTGCTGGTAACATTGTCATCATAATTATCTTCTATATAATTCAAGTAAGTTTTATCAAATTTGTCACTACCATTACATTATCACATCATCACATGACTATCTCCTTATCATCACCATAAACACCATCAACGCTATCATCACCATACA